ATTTATTCAGAACCATTTATTGAGCACCTACTATGTATCCAGTTTTGCATTAAGCATGCATGTTGGAAATGGGTTTATAACATCGGGAGCAATCCACACTGAGACAATGGATCACACAACAAGGCTGGTTCACTTCCTGCAGGAAGGGTACAACTCTCCAGCAGTCTTGCCATGAGAGCACACCTGGACAAAGGAGCAGGGACATCTATAACTTTCATAACCTGACTCAATTGCCCTACTGCTGTGTCCAGTTTCCATTGGCTGAAACGGGACCTCACATTCTATGCTTGACTTCATTGGCTAAAAACTTGGAAATTTCCTGAATAGATAAGGGGGCAGAAGACAAGGAATAAAGCAAGGAAGAAGAAGCTAGTCAGGAGAAGGTCAGGAGGGTTTCCAAATCAGGAATGGCATGCACCAGGGTTTGGAGCTTGCCCAGTTCTGTTCAGACATTCTGGAGCAAGTCAAGGTAGCTGATTTAAGACATAGCTGATTTAGAGAATATATATACATAGGTATATGTTTATTCTAATGCAGATAATGACCATAGAGCAAGAGATTGTAACTCCTTATAATGTAATCTAAGATTTACACTTGGACAAGAACTTTCCCATCTCTCACAATGGGACATATGAAGAAAATGCACAGAGTAATGAGCTTCTAGCCTGGGATGGGGTAGGGGTACAGAGAAAGATAAGTCAAGATTCATTATCGGTGCTATGGTAAGGTCAGGATCTGGGTGTTTGTGGACAGGCATGACCCAGCTTTGGAAAACCCAGGGATATCCACGCCTGAAGGAGGATAATCTGAAACTGAGCATGAGAAGCAGCTGGGCTTTCTGTTGGGCAACAATGTGCCAATTGCTATAGCTTCCAAAAGAGTATAGAGAAATCACATTTTCCTGGCAGCTATATTCTGCATAGGAAGAGAGCCATTTTTGTGAGGAAAATACTTTAATAAGCCACATGGTGAGAAGGCTAAGATACCCCACGGAGTAGACTTTGAGGACACTAGATTGTTACTGTGTCTCTAGAAATCAGCCTGCCATTTGGTGAGTGAGATATGCAAGCTGGTGGTGATTGCAGGATTGCTTGGAACTATAGATGGAATTTTATTTTATTTTTATTTTTATTTTATTTTAGAGGGGATTTTAGAGAGGTGTGAGGAAAGATAAAGGGCAAGATATGGCAACTGACAGGGGAGGAACTTTGAGGGCAAAGACAGAGGTGCCTAACAAGAATTTTGCCAAGTGTCTGCTACTAGTGTCTTGCACTCCAGCCTGGGCAACAGAGCAAAACTTTGTCTCAGAAAAAAAAAGCTGTTTAAATCATTCAACACAGTCTGAGAGGCAGGGCACAGGCTCAGTTATATTGCACAGAAATGTGCTATAGAGCCCCTCACCCCTGTCTACTCAAAAAATCCTTGCTGTTGTTAATACCTGAAGTGGGATAGGCTTCAGTGTGCTCTTCAGGTGGTCAGAGGGTGAGAGCGAAGGCTGCCATTTAGAAGCGGTCTTGCCTGGTTACCCATTCTTCGTTCTGTAAGGAGCTAAGCGCTACTGTGTTCTCAGAACATCTGTACTAAGCAGGAAACCCCTCTTTTGAACTGTACAGGATATGAAGTGAACACTGTTTATTGCTCTTCTCATACTGACCCACTAGCCTCTGTTAGCCTGTCCCTTTGCCTGGGCTCTGTTCACCTGGGCACATGCACTTACAGAGTTTTTTAAAAGAGAGGAAAAAATTATAATAGGACATCCAAAAATACATTCAGGTGTGGCCCCTCTGCTCAGGCACACCCATGAAAAGCATCCCAAGCCATTTATACTTTGATTTGCAAATAAACTGGCAATTTCTATAATTGAGGGTATCTACAAAGCATCAAACTTCCCTTCCAAATTCTATTATTCTTGTGGTAATATTAAATTCTGTCTCCAAAGCTGAGTTTAGAAGCATGGATATGTGAGAATGGGATGTTTTCCAGACTAAGGATGAAAAACCATCATGGGTAAACTACTAGGAAGAATGTCTACACAGATAAAGAGAAATTGACTAACATTTTGAGTTTTGACTTCCCAATCTCTTTTTTTAAACATTAATAACTTCAGAGAGGAACATTTAGAAGACATACCATTGATTATATGCTATACAAAGTGGTGCTATACTTATTATAAAGCAGTGAGTCACTGATAATTTACTGGGATCTGCCAGGCCAATATCCTAATGGCCAAATTTGCAGACATTTGCAGAAGCCCACTCTACTTCCATTGTCTCAAAGCCTAGCATCCAATTGGGAGGTAGCAGTACCCTTTGCTGATATGCACTATTGGCATGGGAGACTTATTAAGAAATATAAAGAAACTGCCTTTTATAATTGACAATAGTGCTTGCCTTTTAAGATGTTAAGCATACTATACCATATTTTCCTAAGTTCAGTTGTCTTACTTTAGAACACAGAAATGCATCATTATTTAAAATTCACCTATCTAGCAACCTTAACTGTCTGGAACATATATGAGATCCAGGAAGCAAAATAAATAGGTTTTTGAGCAAAACAGATACAACAAAATCTATTTACCTACAGAATTGGTAGGAAATGCCTTTAGTCATCACTTGGAACCTAGTTATTCTTATTTGAAATCACTTTAATTTTCTAAAATTTAGTTATTGGGTTTTTTAATTCATATCAGATCAGAAGCAACAATAGAGTGGACGGGACTAGAAGAAACTCTTGAGTCATCTAGAAAAGAGTCGACTAACAAAAGTGAAAACTATTAGCTGTTAAGTTGAATGTAAAGAAAAAGACAGGCTGGGTGCAGTGGCTCACGCCTGTAATCCCAGCACTTTGGGAGGCCAGGGAGGGTGGATCACGAGGTCAGGAGTTGGAGACCAGCCTCACCAATATGTTGAAAACCCATCTCTACTAAAAATACAAAAATTAGCTGCATGTGGTGGTGGGCACCTGTAGTCCAGCTACTCGGGAGTCTGAGACAGGAGAATTGCTTGAATTAGAATGGTGAAGGTTGCAGTGAGCCAAGATCTCGCCACTGTGCAACAGAGTGAGACTATGTCTCAAAAAAAAAAAAAAGAAAGAAAAAGATATTGGAAAGCAAAGGAGGGAGGAGAGATGGGCGAAAGGATGGAGGGAGGGAAGGAGGTTGTCAAAAGAAGACTCAGAAGCTGATAATGCTCAATCCCAGACATTTGATTTTGGTAATAACCCCTTGATCTGTAGAAGCAGCTGAGCACATCCTATATTACACCATAATTTTTATATTCATAAATGACCTCAGTATTCCATTAAAAGTTTCAATTAAGTAGTCAGAGGACTACCTCATTTTAGAAGTGTACACCCAATTGATTAAGATATAAAAGTTTTCATTCCTGAAAATGTATATTTTAGATATTTAGACATGTGTGATACCAGAGAAACATGTTTTCATTGTGTGCATTTATGAATGAAAAGAAAGAATAGGCTGAGGATTATTATTGCCTTGCTAATTGAAGATTTCACAATGGAGGTTGTGTCTGTTCTTGACAGTCTCCACATTTCCTTGATTTTGATATCTCAGTTTTTATTCACTTCAGCTACTAGCCCAACTGAGAGAGATAGTCTCTCAGTGGGCTTTGTCACCCCTCTGCCCTCGAGTTCAAATTGCACAAAAGAGGTTATTGGAAGAATCAAGAAGGACCTATCCCTTAGGAATATGGAGAACCTATTGATTAATGGAAAGGAGTTGCACAACTCAAGGCCAAGTGCTGTTTCCATGGATCTGTAAATGAGAATAGTGCATTTTATATGACCTTATACAAATATTCAGTCAGTCACCCAACAGGTGTGGTTGAACACCTGTGAACATGTATAAAGGTAACAGTGTAGGGGGCTGAATATGTAGACAAAGCCAAACTGAGATTATTCTGGGACTTTGATGATGGTATTCCAGATGGGACAATGGCAGTGGGTCAGGTAGGTGTTGGAGACTTCCATCTTAATCACCACTCTTCTACTTGGTTAAATGTAGTAGTTACCATATACACTAGGCTGTACTGGTTGTCCCTGGATTGTCCCTAGATTTGTCCAGCTAAATAAGGCTAGCCATTATAACATCCAGCCTCTAATATCAGAGCATAACAACCAAAGGTTTATTTCTCACCCATGTGACAGTTTGCTGCGGGTCAGCATGAACTCAAGAGCCTTTCATCTATTGGCTATACTGAGCCTTTAGGACCCTGAAGTCCTCGATTTCATCTTCTTCAGGCCAGTAATATGGGAGAGAGAAACTGAGGAGGGGATATGTTTAAAGACCAGGACTAGGCTAGAAGTACAGTCATGCATCACTTGACAATGGGGCTACTTTCTGAAAAAAAAATTGCATCCTTAGGTGATCTTGTTGTGGCTCGAACATCATAAAGTGTACTTACACAAACCTAGACGGGATAGTCTGCTGCACACCTAGGCTATATGGGATAGCCCACTGCTTCTACGCTACAATCTATACACCATTTTACTATAGGCAGTGGTAACGCAATGGCAAGTATCATGTATCTAAACATAGGAAAGGTACAGTAAAAACACAGTACAAAAGATTAAAAAATGGTACGCCTGTAATCATGAATAAAGCTTGCAGGACTAAAAGCTGCTTTGGGTGAGTCAATGAATGAGTGGTGAGTGAACATGAAGGCCTAGGACATTACTGTACACTACTGTAGACTTTATATACACCGTACACTTAAGCCACACCAAATTGGTTTTTAAATTTTTTTCTTCAATAGTAAATTAACGTTAGCTAGCTGTGACTTTTTAACTTTACAAACTTTTTTAAACTTTTTTTACTATTTATAAGAATACTTGGCTTAAAACACAAACATGTTGTTTGCCTGCACAAAAACATTTTCTTTCTTTATATGCTTATACTATAGGCTTTTTTCCATTTTTTCTATTTTTTGTTTTTGTTTTACTGTTTACACTTTTTTGTTAAAAACTAAGGCACAAACACTCACATTAGCCCAGGACTGCACTGAGAGTGGATCATCTGTATCACCGTCTTTCCCGCCAAATCCTGCCCCACTTGAAGGGCTCAAGGATAATAGCAGGCATGGAGCTGTCATCTCATGGCAACCATGCCTTCTGGAATACCTTCTGAAGGACATGCTGGAGGGTATTTTACACTTAACTTTTTTGATTAAGTAGAAGGAATACACTGTAAAATAACAATAAAAAGTATATTATGGAAAATACCCAAACCAGTGACATAGTATTATCATTATGAATTATTATGTGCTACACACAATTTTATGTGCTCTACTTTTATATGACTAGCAGTACAGTAGATTTGGTTACACCAGTGTCACCGCAAACACAGGCATAATACATTATGCTATGATGTTAGAATGGCCATGATGTCACTAGGCAATAGGAATTTTTCGGCTCCATTGTTATCTTATAGGACCGCTACCATCTATGTGGTCTACGGTTGACAAAGTTTGTCATTCAGTGCGTTACTGTATATTATTTCTACCCACTTTCAGAGCCACCATTGATCACCTGGCCTGATCTAACTATAGGGGAAGCAATGAAGTAAATTTAACTCTGTGGCCAGAAAAGAAAAGAAAACCCAATTCTGATGGACACCTGATGTTTTACTATTCCTGTGAATGGATTCCAAGGTTCTAACTGACTTGATAGGGAGAGCAGGAATCAGAGTGGGAAAATACATTTAACAACAAGTTCCTGAGAGTTTCTTCTTAGACTTGTCAGTGTTCTCGGTTGTGCTCACCCTCAAGCTCCAAAGATACTCCCACAGGCATGTGGCCAAGACACTTCATTTTTCCAGGCCTCAGTTTCCCCCTGTGTCAAAGTGAGGGGTTGAGTTAGAATACCTTTCAAGTCTTTGGGTCCCTTAAAGATCCAAAATCCCATGATTCCAGAACTCCTGATGCTCTCTTCCTCCTGAGACAACTAAGCAGTGCCAGTAGGCCAATAATTTATTTTTTTATTTTAATTTTCCATCTCGCCTTCCAAGCCTGAGTTTTTAGATATTAAAATATAACAATAGACAAAGTTAATACAATAATGACTTTTTATGGCAAAGTAAAGTTATTTTGGGTTTGGATGAATACCACATTCACACACGTATATAAGATACACAGAGCTCTGTGAAAAGATAATCTTGTTTGAACAGTCTTGTAAAACATATGTTCTCCTCCTCTTGCCCTGTATTAGTTTTGCAATTAGTAACAAACAAACAACAGTGACATCTCAGTGGCTTATAACAACATTTACTCTTCGCTCACTTTACATAAGGACTGTGAGTCAGCTGCAGGTTGTCTGTGGCTCTGCTAGAATTGGCTGGGTTCAGCTGAGCTCAGCAGGGTTCTACCTGTCTCCTCATTTTAAAACCCAGACTGAGGGTATAACCACTATCTGTGATATCCTAAGGGCAGTGGAGAACAAGAGCAAGGAGACCTAAGCCAAACCACCCAATTGCATTTAAGCTTCAGGTTAAACACAGCAAAAAAACATCACAACCATTCACATCCCTTGGGCCACAGCTTTTCACATGGCCAAGTCCAAAGTGAATGAGGTAGGATGTGTATTCCTTCACAGAATGCTCGAGTACAGGGTAGGGATATGTAATCCTTTGGCTAGGAGGAAGCAAATAGTTGGGGACAATAACCCAACAGATCACAACCCCAGTGCCTCTATCTAAGTTCTAAATATTTCCTGTAGAGAGGAAGCCACTCTGCCCTCTCCACTGCATCTTCCTGTCCTGCCCTTCTCAGCATAAGCTCGGGCTCTAAAACTTGAGCTGGATAAGAATCCTCTCAGTGCTTGTCAAAAATGCCCCTTCCTAGGCCCCCCTTTCCAGAGATTTTGACACATTTGATCTGAAGTGGGTAGTGGTACCCGGGCAGGATACCCCAGGAATACCTACTACTGTTGAAGAGCTATCTCTGGTTCCCACAGCCTTTGGCATCAGAACTGCCTTTGGGTTGGGGGAGCATGCTGAGTGAGCATTATCAGGAGGAGGACTGCCTTAGAGGACTCAGAAGCTACAACCCCAAGGTCCTCTGATGTGTCCCCACTCCTCACAACCAACATGGAATTTGTACTTCTGGAGCTCCTTGAAGGTAGGGTCATTACACCTTTGAAAGTGTGATTATGGCCAGGCATGGTGGCTTACACCTGTAGTCCCAGCACTTTGGGAGGCTGAGGTGGGCAGATCACCTGAGGTTGGGAGTTCGAGACCAGCCTGACCAACATGGAGAAACTCCATCTCTATTAAAAGTACAAAACATTAGCCAGGTGTGGTGGCGCATGTCTGTAATCCCAGCTACTCGGGAGGCTGAAGCAGGAAAATCTCTTGAACCCAGGAGATGGAGGTTGCAGTGAGCCCAGGTTGTGCCATTGCATTCCAGCTGGGCAACAAGAGCAAAACTCCATCTCAAAAAAAAAAAAGAAAGAAAGTGTAATAGTTAGCACAGACCCCAGAGATCAAATCCTGAATTCCTCTTCCTCCATATACAACTCACTAGACCCTCTCTAGACCTTGGACAACTCACAGACCCTCTCTGGGCCTCAGTGCCCTCATCTGTTAGGAATAATAATCATACCCACACCTCAGGCTTGTTGTGAGGGTTAAGTAAGTTAACAAAACAGTGCCTGGCATGCAATGGATCACAGGGAGACATTTCACATATGATAGTATAAATGTTTTTATATATTTATAAGTGTATAAGTGTATTCTGTACAAGGGTTTGCTGATTTTATTGCCACACAGGTCTGAGAACAGCAGAGGCTTTTGAGATAAGGTTGCCTCCTATTGGAAGTGTTATATGGGGAGCATGCTGGGTGAGCTGTTATCAGGAGGAAAGCTGCTGTAGAGGACTCAGAGGACTTACATGTTAGGTGATAGCACATAAGTTAGTGTTTTTCAACCCTGGCTTCAATATAGAATCATCTAGAAAGTTTTTTCTAAATGCCCATATCTTCCATGTTGGCTTCAAATAATTAGCTTTGTTTCCGAGCCAATTAGTGAGAATGTCCAGGGACAGAGCAAAAGAATGAGGAATATTAAGGTTGGGCATGGTGGCTCAATCCCAGCACTTTGGGAAGCCAAGGTGGGCAGATCACTTGAAACCAGGAGTTCAAGACCAGCCTGGCCAACATGGTAAGATACATCTCTACTGAAAATACAAACATTAGCCAAGCGAGGTGGCGCAGATATGTAATTTCAGCTACTCTGGTGGTTAAGTCATGACAGTCACTTGAACCTGAGAGGCAGAGACTGCAGTGAGCTGAGATCATATCACTGCACTCCAGCCTGGGTGACAGAACAAGATTCTGAGTCAAAAAGAAAAAAAGAAATTTTAAGACACTCCTTAGACTGTAATGGGAATCCTTGATTAAAAACCAGTGATGTCTATAGAACTGCAAAACATAATGTACGATTTATGGGTGTTTTTTTGATTGTTAGTAACTGATTGATGGTCTCATGAGGTACTAGTTCCTCTGATAATCAGGCCAACATGGATTTTCCACCATCTGTCCCACATGTGCACTGGCCAGGGGAAAATGAAACTCACCCAATTCCTATTCTTGCCTATAAGCCAAAAAGGCCTCTTAAAAACAAGCCTCCCTGTAATAAAAGATGTTGCTAGGATGAGATGCTGTGGTGAGCGAGTGGAGTTAATGTGACTGGATTTGGAAGCAATACCTCCAGCCATGGGGAAGCATGGGTGTTCTGTGTTATTAAAGTGACTACGGTGCAAAGGACCGTACATCGGAGTAATTTTCCCTGATGAGGTTGGATGCCAAGAGATGGTCCTTTATAGTATCCCTGAGTGGCCCGAGGCCTCACTCAGCTCTGGTTTAGGCAAATGCTATCTCTGCTGATCGTCTGCCTCTTACCAAATGCAGCCATCGCCATGCACAGCACACGCGCTCCTCTTGGTTTTATCACAGAGCGCAGAGTCTTCAGGAAGTTCTTTCCTCAGTGGAACCTTTGGGGTTTCTAGGAGAGGAGCAGGCGAATATCTGGAATCAGATTTGAACACTTTACGGCAGCCTCTATACTATTTCTAATTACTTTCACCCAGTCATGATGTTCTGACTAAACTGCCAGATTGTAAGGTGATAAACAATTCATATAAAAGTAATTCACTATGGAAAGTTCTGGATGTTTTCACCAATGGGTACCTCAAAACAGGGTACAAGATGGAAACCTTCTCAAGAAACAGCAAAATGTAAACTGGATAATTGTTGTGATAAAAAATAATGAACGACCATACGAGCAAGTGTCCTGCTGTGCACCTTCATAGACAAATGTGTAGATATGCTGCCTGGACTATGGGCAGATAAACATTCATTGTAGGCACATGTATGTGTGAAACTAGTTATTGGCAGAGCAAGAACAGCTGGAACCTTCATCTCCCCACCTTCCGGCTAGGATTCTCTTGGCACTATATCTCCAGTTTTCAATGTCTTCCTAAAAGAGCAGTTCCTATATTATTCTTAAAACGCCTTTAGATTCCCCTGTCAAATGCTGAAATCTACACCAGCTGTAAGTCTAGTAATTGAAATACTAGCATGGGTGCAGTCTTTCCAGATGCAAGGTTTGGTCCCATGTCTTAGAATCTTGTTCTGTTTTTTTCACCTTTGGGGCTTCATTTATTCATTCTACAATCATTGACTGTTGACATTGGGCAGAGCTTGTATAACAGTCTTAATCTTTATCCTGGTATGTAATAGCGAATCCCTACTGTTCCTCTTCCCACCCTGAGCACATTATGACCTTTGTTTTCCAGATTAAGTGTTGGCATTCTATACCAACACTTGGAAAGAAACCCCCAACTTCTTGCCGGGCACGATGGCTCATGCCTGTAATCCCAGCACTTTGGGGGACCAAGGCAGGTAAATCGCTTGAGCTCGGGAGTTTGAGACAAGCTGGGCAACACGGCAAAACTCTGTCACTATAGAATATACAAAAATTAGCTGGGTATTGGTTGGCACATGCCTGTAGTCCCAACTACTCAGGAGGCTGAGGTGGAAGAATCACCTGAGCCCAGGGAGGTGTAGGCTGCAGTGAGCAGTGATCATGCCACTGCACTCCAGCCTGGGCAACAGAACAAGACCCTGTCTCAAAAAATTTAAAAAAGCCCAACTCCTGGAAATTCAAAGGTACTTGATGTGGGGTTTGTTCCCTGTTATGTTAGCCTCAGGCCATCTAGCCCAGGTAGGACAAGGCAGGTAAGAAAACCCAGAGGGCCGAGGACCCAGAAGGAAGCATCTAACACAATGCCTAACACTGAAAACAATGAATGAATGTATTCAAAATGTGTTTGCAAGAAATGAGACTTTTTGTTTTTTTTAGGACAAAAAAAGGGCACTTAAAATGTAATCTAGTCTCCTAGGAGATACAGCCGGCAGCACACAGTGGTTATGAGATTTGCAGGGCTTCCCTGCCATTGAGTCTTGATCTGTCTCAGCAAAACCCGAAGTTTGCCAAAACCTGGAAACAACTCAAATGTTCATCAATAGTAGAATGAATAAATGAGTTATGGTATTTCATTCAATATAACATGAATGAGATGAAATGAAAATAAATTATGTAAAGGACATGTGACAACAAGGATGAATCCTACAACAATGTGAAATGAAAGAAGCCAGACACATACACTCAAAAATGCATGCTGCATGATCCTATTGATATAAAGTTCAAAGGTAGGTGAAATTAATCTGAGAAGCTGGAAGAATGGTTTCTATCAGGAAGGAGTAGGTAGAGATTGTGTGGGGACACAAGTTGGATTTTGGGCTGCTATTGTTGGTTAATCTCGAACTGAGTGGTAATATAGAGGTATTCTCTTTGAGATACTTCACTGAGCAGAATACTATCATAAGTGTCACTTAATCATAGGAGTAAGTTCTGAGAAATGTGTCAGGAGATTTCACTGTTGTGCAAACATCATAGAGTGTACTTATACAAACCTAGACCATACAGCCTACCACACACCTAGGCTGTATGACATAGCCTATTGCTCCCAGACTACAAACCTATACAGTGGTTACAGAACTGAACACCGTAGGCAACTGTTACAGATGGTAAGTTTTTGTGTATCTAAATATATCTAAACATAGAAAAAGAGCAATAAACATACAGGCTTATAATCTCATGGGACCACCATCATATACATGCAGTCTGTCATTAACCAAAATGTCATTATGTGGCGCATAATGTCATATGTACAATAGTGTGAAATTCAAATGTTGGATTGGGCCCTGATCGATTATCCAGGAACTAAGCTTGCAAGAGCTAAAAAGAACCTCAGAATCCCTTCCTAGCATGGTAGGTCCATTTCTGGAGTCAGGGAACTTGAGTCAAAAACCTGAGTAGAAGGTTTAGGGCAACAGATACAATACAGCAGGACAGGATGGGGACTGTGCTGAGGGGGATCACTGGATACCAGTCTTGGGAGTAAGTTCCACAGAATGATGGGGCTGAGATTGCTGGCAGCCAGGATTGGCTCAGGGACTGCATCGGCCAGATCGTAAGAGCAGGTATGACAGAGGATGAGGTGTTGACAATGGGGAGTGGCGTGTTGGGAGCTGGGATCTGGTTTATTTTTAACTCTCATAAGACCACACTGCCTCCTCTGCTGTGGCCTTCCCTTCCTAATGTGGAGAGTACCATCAGCCCAGGCCACGGGACTGTGACCCCAATTTTTCATGTGGGGAGACTGGCTCTAGTTTCCCAAAAGCACAAGTTTCTGGGCCTTTTTCTCAACTGTTGGCCTCTGTGGAAGAGACTTGGCTTAATGGAAAGGTGAATGAAGGGAGGCTTTTGGAAAGAGAGGGCCTAAACAGGGTCAGCACTGATGCCGAGAAACATGAGGGAGAAGGAACTTTTCTTCGAGTTTACACCACAGTTGGCCACAGAGTGGTGGGAAGGCGTGTTTGAAAAAGGTAAGGGGAGAAGCAGAAGGATAAGACTGTCTTTGAGGATCAGGAAGCAAGGAAGCCGAGGCAGCTAGCCACGGCAAGGTGTGGGGCTGCAAACTGGCTACAGACCTGATCTGCAGCTCCACCACCTGCATTTTTAAACCTCAGTCACAACCAAGGAACTGCTGAGGAGTGAAGCCTAAGATGATAGTCCCTGGGCTGTGTGGGGCTGACTTTTCCTAACTGAACTACAAATATTTGGAGCCATTTGCTGCTCTAACATCTTAAAAAGATGAGGACCCTCATTGGACATTCCAGTCCCAGTTGGGAGAGAATAAGAAGGGCCATGCCTGCCGATGATCAAGATCTTGAGTGTAATGCAGGATAGACTCAGAGAGACAGACACCTAATTTATCCCCAGCTTAGGAGTCTGCCAGCCTTAAAAAAAAAAAAGCCCGTGGATATACAGGTGTGCCTAGTACTGCGAACCATCTCCTTGTATGATCAGAGTTAATTAACATTTAGTATAGCTCTTTAGGAGTGAGAAGTTGTGATTATCTTTCTCTCTAAAGGTTAAATTACCCCCATTGTATTTGCCCTTCTGGGAAGAAAAATGCAGGATGAGTTGGGAAATCACTGTGAGGACACCACTGTGAGTATGTCTAATTTTCTGGCATGGAGGTTTCAGGCATTAGAATGTGCATCATAGTAACCAGATTCCAGGATACGTCTCAAGAAATCCCTAAGGGAAAGTTTTTTTTTGTTCATTCATAGAATGCTTCCTGAAGACATTATTACAGGAAAACTTTATTTAGAAGACTTTCTTTGATCCTGCACTAGCAGATGAGAAGATATAAGCAGATGACAATATCTAATATCTACTCCCGCCTGACCACTCTGCTTCCTATCCCAGAGTTTCTTCTGTAAAACACATGGAGCCCTGCTTCAGCAAAGCTCTCCGGATAGCACCCAACCTCACCAGGAAGGTCTGATTTATAGCACGTTGATCTTAAGCGTGCTAGTGTGATGCCCAAAAGAGAAAGGAAGTTTCAGTAAAGGGATATTATAGAAAGTCTTCAGCCAGTGAGTAGAATCTCGTCTCCAAGCCAGGCTGAGCTCACCAGATCACCAGGATAAAGAACAGTTTTGGGCTATATGAACCTAATGAGGCTGGATTCATGAGATCAACAGTGTTTGAGGCCCTTGGGCATAAGTAGGTCAATAGCTGAGAAAGCCTCTCTCAGCTCTGGCTGTCCTGCTCCTACTCAGAATGCCACAGCCACTCAAGGCTTGATTTTGCTCACCTTGGGTCCCCCATCACAGACTTCACACGGGATGTTTTCTCAGTGGCTCTCAGGTTTCCCAGATGCCTTTCTCTCATAGGCATGTGACCGACAATCTGCTACATTTCTGTACTTCCATTTGCTCATCTGTTAAAACCTGTACCTGCACACAGGGCGGTTGTGATAACAAATGAAATTTACGTGATTAAGGTACTTACTTTCCCCAGTGCCTGCCCATAGTTGATGCTCTAGAGGTCAAAGGCATTATTTTAAACCCATTGGGAGCCTTTAACCATTCGATTTTAATTAGATGACCCTTAGAGGGGAGATGGAGCAGGTGATTTAGAAAGTGCACCATGGGTGGGCATTTGTTTGGAAAAAATCTTGCAGGAACACGTAAAAGGTCCCAAAAAAAACAAAATGCAGGTCACCTCACAGGATCCGCTGCTGGGCCAGGATCCTTTACTGAAGCTGGAGCCTCGGAATAAGAGAGCTGCTTGATGGTGCCGGGGTGTCCAATCTTTACTGCGGCTATGCTTTCTCCCTTTCTATGTCCCACACGGAGCAATAGCAAAGGTTGGTCTTTCAGGGGCTTATCAAACACATTCAGACCTTTCAAATGTCCCAAGATGAGCAGCTTTGACCTTGAATGTTCTTCCCTTGATTTAAAAATTAAAGAGAAATTTAAGCCATGCGTTTCTAAGAATTTACACTTAGTTCATCAAATCTATTGTTTTCTTAGTTGTTTGAAGTCCAACAAGACTAATGAGCCATTTTTTCCAAATGTCTTTAAAAATCCTTTTTTCTTAGAAGGACATTTAGAGGCTTTGAAAGTTGTTCCAAGGGTAACAATAATAATATTAATAATATATTGCCCCAAACTCCCAACCCCTGCAGGTTCAAAATTTACTTAATACTCTGAACCCAAGGGATTTAAATTATTACCAGAGTTTATTATCTTTTGTTTATGGGCCTTTCCAAACAGGAGAAAGAAACCACGTGGAGATTCACTAGAGTTCATTGTGTGATTCACCTCATGGTGATGCATATATCCTAGAAGACTTCCAGCTTGAACCTTTAAAGCCTCCCTAACTCAATGGAATCAACATAGTTAGGTTGAGATTATACTGAGGGTACAGACTTTTCAGCCTGGAGAATTTTTGGTTGATGGACAAGGGCAAGAGCCCTCATAGAAGGATTTTCCTGTAGGATATACAATCTAAGTTATGTGAGATTAATGCTATATTGTTAGGTGGGTATGGGGTGGAAAGAGAACAATTTTTCTCTGGGTGTGTGCAAAGGAACTGACTGCCTTGGCTCCCCTTGAACTCTCTACCTTGTCATCTGAGGACCTCTGGTGGTGGAATTTTTCCCAGCGTGTGTGAATCAATGTTTCGTGCCAAGCCATCCAACCCTGTTACATTTTCCTACATTCCTTTCCTCCTGTTTTGTCATTCACATTAAGCAAGGAGCAACAATCAGTTGCAAACACCCACAATAAAGTGGTGGATGTGCCTGACCAGACTGTCATTTCACAAAAGTTACCTGGTGCCTTTCTCTTCCAGTGAACCTCTGATACATTTCCTGTAGCAAGAGAAGGCAGCCAACATGAAGGAAAATGTGGCATCTGCAACTGTTTTCACTCTGCTACTTTTTTTCAACACTTGCCTTCTGAATGGTAAGTAAGAGACTATCATGCTCTCTTTCATTGCCTGGGGTGTTTGTCAACAGGGTCCATTGCAGTCTCCTTGCAATGCTATTATGAAAAATGAAAATGCTTGTGTTATGTGCTGCTATTAAGTTATTTGCAATATTTTTGCATGAAAGTTAATGAGAAAAATTAATGCAGTTAGGGCAAAATCTTGTCACTGTGCTCCCTGCCGTCTGTCCTCATTCCAGGAGTGTAATGAAACAGCTCTGAAGACAGGACCTGAGTTCTAATCCAGGTCCTACCAGTTTCTATCTGTGTGAGCTAGAGCCAATTACCTAACTCTCTGGGTTTTCAAATTTTCAAAGTAAGGATAGTGATGTTTCCTCTACCACAGATGAAATAATGCATATGAAAAATCTTTGAAAAACCATGATGGGATATAGCAGATTGCTGTTACATAGTGGGAAGCAGGTACAGCCAACTCTATAATCTGTGCTAATAGGAGAAATGAAGTCCACAGCTAAATGAGAGGGTGGGTGCCTGTGAATACACACTTCTGTATGTCAACCCTTGTGCATTTCTGGGTGTGCAGGCTTCTATATGTGCCTGTGTAGATATTAACTTTTCCATATGGACCTGTTTGTAAATGCTTCTCTGTCTGAACCTGTACGTGAATACTTCTATGTATGTCTGTGTGTGTACATATCCATATGTGTACACTTCTCTGCATGTACCTGTGTGCATACCAGTATGTATTTCCATGAGTATGCACCTGTATGTATTTCTCGGTGTGGGGGGGGTGTACTTTTGATTTGGGCCCTGTGTGGGCATCTACATACCTGTGCATGTGGTACCTGTGTGGTTTTCTCTGTGTTTCTGTGCATTGAGAAAGTACATTAATTTTAACTTACTCCTCTAATGTACATGAAGGAAACATTTGTCTAATTGCAATTTTACAAATCTACCCTCTTCTCTTGAGTCTCCAGAAGGTACTATTAATAAACAGTAAAATAAGAAGAGAAGCTTTCAAAGAGATAAAAAGGGGAAAGCAGAGGTCAGAATGACCTGCAAGAGAAACTCTAAATACTCAAGAAATCAATGATCACCCTAATTGGCTTCTGAGTGTGCTCATTACTGAACCATAGGGTTTGAATGTTTTAAATAAGCTTTTCTTTCTACTTCACACGCTTCTTCCCATTCATGACAAAAACAAAGCAAAACAAAAACTTGCATTCTTGCTGTGACTCCCAGCAACAGCTTATCCTAAATAAATTGTCCCTAGAGGATGAACATTGTTACAAATATTGGCAGAGCCGCCCCAGGCTGGCGCGGATGGATTTCAGCAGGGCCTGTGAGCGGGAGGGTAGGTAAGCTCCAGCTGATACTACTAGCCTGTTGTCCTGGGCTCCAGCCTGTGTCCCACAACATGCCATTCCACTGAATCTCTCTTTCTGGCCAGCTCTGCCTAGAGACCCCTCTTCGCATCCATTTCCCCCCGCTGAGGTCTCCTCCTAACTTGCTGTTTCTGATCTGGTGCTCAGCTAGATCTTCTGGCCTTGGAGCCTGCATGAGGTATAGGGGAGAAAACAGAGAGAACCCCCAGAGGTGCTGGCCCACCTCTGAAAGTGCTCCTCTCTGTCCCTGACATCCTGAACTCCATGCTAGAGCATCCAGCTATACAAAACAGAGGAGCCGCTGAAGTCATAGAGGTGAGCATGGTGGCTTCCCCAGCCCCACAGCATCAGGGCAAACTCACAGGCTCTGCTGTCCCTCTTTGAACCTGACATCCAAGGAAGAGAAATGGGGGCCCACTTGCCAAGAGCTTTGGGGATTTGGCAACTAAAAAATTTTACATACTTGGTGTTGTATTTTCACACCACCTCACTGAGACCTCCTAGAGTCCAGCCTGGAAGTAGGTACAGCTCTTAGATAACAGTGGTTGCTCAGAGCCAGGAGAGGAGCTGGCCACTCTCCTACCCCTTACCACACCCCCTATCCCAAAAAGATCCATCGAATTATAGTTTTATAGACCCTGTGAGATTACAAAAGGGCCACACACTTTTCAAGCCCTATGAATCAAAAGGAAGCCTTTTGCAACCTCACCACAAAAAAAAGAAAGAGAAAAAATCTAAGACAAACAAGGACTAAAAACTAAGATTCAGAAATGGGGATGGGGTGGATGAGAAGATAGATTGTGAGTCTGGGTCACAAGATCAAAGCTGAATAAAATCAAGAAAAAGTGAAGAGAAAGGAGAAGACGGGGAAAGAGGAAGGGAGGGACGCCCAGATGCAGGGAGCTTCAGCGATGCAGTAAATGGGCAGAAGATCAGGAACAGGTTGAGTTCATCGTGTGGGGGGCGGCAGAAAGATGGAGATTGGTGAGCAGAGTGGATAAGTGCCAAAGGGTGTTGTTTTGGCAGTGTATGCAGGTTGCTCATACCTGGGAAGGATTCTTTGTATGATCCCCTTAGAATGAGAGGGTATCAGCTTTACAGACTTCATAGGACTACAAAAGACCACACACTCTTCAATCCTTATGTGTCTATCTTGCATTCAAGGTTCACTCTTTGTTGAAATTTTGCAGTCACTAACCCTCACATAGGCTATTGGTATCTCCATCTGAAAGTACACACACACACACACACACACACACACACACACACACACTGCAAAGCTCTCTAAGAGCCCTGCCAACATCAGCGTAGCCCACAGAGGAGTGTTGCTGATGTTTGACATTGCTGAGCAGCCACCCTAGGTCTCCTCGCCCTGAGACTTCATCACTGGCTTGGGTTCCATCAGTCTGTTCTGCCACCAGCAGAAGGGTCAAATGGTTAAATAGACCTCAATATTGATGCAGTGGCTTCTGGCTTTTTCTAGGACAGTCACCTCCTGGGAAACCTGAGATTTTTAAATGTCGTTCTCCCAATAAGGAAACATTCACCTGCTGGTGGAGGCCTGGGGCAGATGGAGGACTTCCTACCAATTATTCACTGGCTTACCACAAAGAAGGGTAAGAAGTTTCCTTCTCTCCTGTCCAACCACACATGAGTATTTCCATTCTCCAGGCCAAAGAAACACTGGTTCTGAGTGACAGCACTTCCCTGAATTTACACCAGTAAGATTCATACCACTTGGGAAAGGGGAGTCTAAGGTCCATGCCCACATTGTCCTATAAATGTCTGTTAAGAGCTGCATCAATATACATAAGGTAACCAGCCATAGCAGTGCAATATCAGTAATGTTTCAAATCCCTGTCACAGCTTAGGTTGTAGCCTCAGGCCCCATAAAAGTGTTTCTTAAGTGCTAGTTAATCTTAGATGCTCATCTATAAACTTTATGCCATTTGTAATTTTTTTTTTTTTTTTACTAAACATGTCACTTTTGCAACATAAGAGGGCCATGTGAAGTGGCACCATATAATCCTTGATAGACATGGTACAAGGCTTTCAAACTTGTTTCATGTTCAAGAAAATAAAGAACCTTGTAGGGAGAAGAAGGTGAGGTTTTTCCTTAGCAGATTGCTGATCCAAGAGCCATGATCTCCTGGAGGACATATTTGGACCTAAGGTTGCAATGAGGGCTAAACCAGATTGTCTCTGTGCAAGCATTTTGTTACACTCACAATGAGACCCTCCTGGAAATCCTCGGACAGCTGCACTCTTGTTCAAAAAGGAAAATATTTAGTTGCTGGTAAAGACAGCTGGCCCACTTTCCAATGCCTGCACTTTGTTGTACACAAAACTGTTATTCCAGCTAAAGTCCAAAGGGGCATCATGTAAACAGATTTCAGGAACTCAAATACAACCAGAATTGAATAAGCCTTTATACCTGTGTAGTGTGTCTTGCGCTGAGGCTACGTCTAAATGTGAGCAGCCTACTGAGCCACTTGGGCCTGAAATACCTCCTTTCAACATCACTTCACTTTATTGCTGACTTGGTGCAGTCTGAAATGGATCAGCATCAGTTTTTGTCCCCTTGGACACTTTTTTAAAAAATGGAATGTAATTCAACACACATGTGCAAAGCTGCTGCACTGTGCTTTGCACCCCGTGTGTGGACAGGTGAAAGTTCCAGTTCCCTGAGGTGACCCCATGGGCGTGACCTGGGTTTGGTGGTGCCCGAGTCATTGAAAGCTCAAGTGTTTATCAGCAGGGAATATATATCCCAGAGCCCACAAGAACACTTATGGAAGGGAGAGGTTGATAAGAAACAGAATACTTGCGGCCCTAAAATAACTTTTCCAGCATGTTATTCTTTCTCTCACTCTCAGCTGAAATGGGAGAAACATGGAAGCCTGGGGAACCAATCATCAGCTCTGGGTTTTGCACTTGAAATTTCTGATACCCAAAGGCCAGTGGTATTGATCTATGAAGAAAAAACTAGACTCTCTTTATCACTTTCTTATTCATTCCGAATACATTACTTATTGCAGAGAGAAATTCATACATGAATGTCCAGACTACGTAACCGGTGGCCCCAACTCCTGCCACTTTGGTAAGCAGTACACCTCCATGTGGAGGACATACATCATAACAGTCAACGCTACTAACGAGATGGGAAGCACTTTGTCAGATGAAATCTATGTGGACGTGACTTACATAGGTAAGAGGAAGGGAAATGGGTAAGAAATTTGTTACTCCATTATGTATTAGCCAACAGTCAGACTCAGTGTGAGTTTTCTTGGGTTTTGGATGGATCCCCCACCCCAAAAAAGGATGAGAAAATTCACAGTATGCTTGTCAACTGAGCATTTCAAATCATTTTTTATCAAGTCATCCATGACACTAAGGCTGGCACTTGGGATCCTTGTGTTCCTGTGCTTACCCTTGACCCTCATCCTCTTGCACTCAGCACAAATGTTCTATGTTTGCTTTCCTTGCCAGTCCTTCTATCTTGCCCTTCCTTTGTAATCAATGTCCCCTTCTTCCTTAGCAGCTGAGATTTCTTTTTATTTCTTTTCATGGAAGACAGAGCTGCTCTATGAAGAAGAACCTCTTAGAAGGGTTCATCTGGTTCTGCATCCACGGCAATTGCTCCCATTGCTTTGCCCCAAATTCATATGTGTGTGTGTGTGTGTGTGTATGTTGATCCACAACATATATGTGTTGTATATATGTGATATGTATACACACACACACACGTATGAGTTTGGGGCAAAGCAATGGGAGCAATTGCCGTGGATGTAGATATACACACACACACACACACACACACCATTTGTAATTTTTTTTACTAAACATGTTACTTTTATAGCATAAGAAGATAATGTGAGGTGGTACCATGTAATCCTTGACAAACATAGTGTTCAAGAAAATGAGGTAATGTAAATGTTAAAAATTACCAATGCTCTGTGTGCGCATGCACACACACGCAGAGAGAGACACACACACACAGAGACACACACACACAGAGAGACACACACACAGAGACATACACACACACACAGAGACACACACACACATGACACACACACACACACAGAGATTGATTATCATCCCTGCATCTACTGGTGCTGCCAAGGTTGCAGGAAGGCCATCTCCAGGCTGAATGGGAAGCTCACTGGCATGACCTTCCATGTCCCCACCACAAATGTGTCGGTCATGGACCTGACCTGCTGTCTAGAACAACCTGCTAAATATGATGACATCAAGGGTGGTGAAGAAGGGAAGATGTTCTGGAGAGCCCCATGATTGTTGTACTACAGTTGTGCAGAGGGGCCATTCACAGTCCTCTTTGTGGAGTGATGGCATGGACTGTGGACATGAGTCCTTCCATGATGGATTATAAATTTTATATAAGTGTGGTGTGTGTGTGTGTGTGTGTGTATTGCCTTACCCTCAAGAGTTATAATATTTGAAGGCAAAACAATAAAAGCAAGAAATGTTCTGAAATTAGCAAATGTTTTAATAAATGTGATCCTTAAAAAAAGAGTTCACTGAAGAAAGTAGTATGTTTCAAAAGAGAAATGAACAAATGTATATGAAATTTTCATTGACTCTGGAAAACAAACTCTCTGGTGAAAGAATATGTTGGACCATATTTTTCAAAATAATAAGTCTCCACAGAACTCTAGTATAACCCTGCAGCCTACAGCGGTTTGACAGCCCATGGAAGTTCAGTTTACAGTGCACGGTACATTTTCTGACACTTAGACTCTTAGCCAGTGATAATCTGCAGTACAGAATGACATCATTGGCAGATAATTGCTCAGAAGTAGAATTCTTTGTGGTTGAGTAATATTTAGTTACGCTGAAAACACTTGAAAGCTGTGGTTCTCAACTGGGAGCTGTTTTTGCTTCCCACAGGATATTTGGCAATGACTGGAGACTATTTTTATTATCACAACCTAGGAAAGTGGGGAGGCAGGACTATTACTTCTATGTGGTACATAAAGCCCAGAGATCCTCGAAGCATTCTACAAAGCATAGGGCAGTCCCCTGCAAGAAGGAAACATCCAGTCCAAAATGCAAGTCGTGCTGGGGCTGGGAAAGTATGCACTAAAAGGTACATCTTGAACATTTGAATTGAATTTTTGTACCATTTTTTATCAGAAGCATTGCTTGGTATGTATTTAACTTAAAATGTTTATTTATTAGCTATCATTTGTTTAGGAAATATACTCAAAATAATCTTTCTTAGGTATTTACTCAGTAACATACCAGCTTAGAATTGATGGCAATTGTTTTTTGGTACAGGGGAAACTTTACTGATGGTACAAGGCAAGGTAGGGCTCCCTAAGCCCCCACTCTTCAGGGGGTCTGCTTGAAAATTGTTAGGGGAGATTCTCAGTTTGGTGGGGAACTAAGTACGACAGGGATTCCCCAGTAGCTGAGGGCCTCGCTCTTGCTCTTCTGCGCCCACTAGGGCTGGTGGTCCCACTCCTTGGAGGGGTCTTACTCCTTGGAGGCCATGTGGGCCATGAGGTCCACCATCCTGTTGCTACAGCCTAATTCATTGTCATGCCAGGAAATGGGCTTGACAAAGTGGTCATTGAGGGCAGTGCCAGCCCCAGCATGGAAAGTAGAGTAGTGCGTGTTGCTTTTAAAGTCAGAGGAGACAGCCTGGTGCTTAGTGTAGCCCAGGATGTCCTTGAACAGGCCCTGCGATGCCTGCTTCACCACTTTCTTGATGTCATCATATCCGGCAGGTTTTTCTAGATGGCAGGTCAGGTCCATGACCAACACAGTGGCGGGGACATGAAAGGCCATGCCAGTGAGCTTCCCATTCAGCTCGGAGATGACCTTGCCTTCAGCCTTGGCAGCACCAAAAATGCACGGATCATGTTTTGGAAAGCCCCACGGCTGTTGCCTCACAGTTTCCCAGAGGAGCCATTCACAGTCTTCTCAGTGGAGTGGTGATGGCATGGACAGTGGGCGTGAGTCCTTCCGCAGTGGGTGGCAAATACTTAAATGTTGGTTTTTAGGCAAATGTAGGTCATAATGCCAAGTACACTATAGTTACACTCACTCTTTCCCCATCTGGTACAGAGGTTGATTTAAGGAAATAATAAATGAATAGAGAAAATGTCACTGACCAGGAGGACTGAGACTGGGTGAGGCAAGCCAGCACCCCGGAACCTGAGTCTTAGAAAGGTACTCACAGGGGCTGTAGCCACAGGAGCCTACTAGAGTAAATGCCTCCTTCATTTTCTTTTTTTTAATTCTTACCAGCAGGAAGCCACTTTATTTGTTTTTACTGTGGTAAAAAGCACAAAACACACATCCACCATTTCAGCTATTTTATAGTATGCAATTGAATGGCATTAGTTTATTACAATATTGTGCAACCATTACCACTATCTAGTTCCAAAACACGTTTGTCTCCCTCAGTGGAAACTTCATATCCATTACTAAGCAGTTACTTCTCATTTCTCCCTTCCTTAACCTCTGCCAACCACTAATCTGCTCTCTGTTTCTGGGAGTTTGCCTCGTCTGGATATTTCATATATATATGGAATCATAAAATATGTAGCTATATCACATATTTTTTTTTGAGATGGAGTTTCACTCTTGTCACCTAGGCTGGAGTGCAATGGCACAATCTCGACTAATTGCAACCTCTGCCTCCTGGGTTCAAGCGATTCTCCTACCTTAGCCTCCCAAGTAGCTGGAACTACAGGAGTGCACCACCATGCCTGGCTAATTTTTTTGTCTTTTTAGTAGCGAGGGGGTTTCACCACATTGGCCAGGCTGGTCTTGGACTCCTGACCTCAGGTGATCCTCCTACCTAGGCCTCCCAAAGTGCTGGGATTATAGGCGTGAGCCACCATGCCTGGCCTCTAACACATTTTTTAACTGTTCATCAGCTGATGGACATTTAGATTTGTTCGGTTTTGCCTATTATAAATAGCGCTGCTATGAAAATTTACACACAAGATTTTCTTAAACATCTGTTTTCAATTCTTTTGAATCTATATCTAGGAAAGGAATTGATGAGTAATATGGCAATTCTAATTTTACTTTTGGAGAAACTTCCAGACTGTTTTCCACGGTGGCCGCACTGGTTTACATTCCGACCAGCAATATATGAGGGTTCCAATTTCTCCACATCCTCACCAACATTTGTTATGTTTCATTTTTCGAATTCTTGCCATGCTGATAGATGTGAAATGGTATCTCATTGAGGTTTTGATTTGCATTTCCCAGAAGGCTAATGACCTTGAGCATCTTTTCATGTGCTTCTTGGCCATTTGTCCCTCCTTAATTTTGTATCCTATGCACTTCACTCACCTCAACCTAATCCCAGGCCTGCTCTCCAGCACCTGACATAAATGCAAAGTCTACTACCATGGTAGAGTGAAATGGTAGAGGCCGCTTCCTCTAAGTCATATAGTTATGGGTTCAGATAACACTTTTACCAAATATGTGTCCTTAGGCAAGTAGTTTTCCCTCTTCTAAGCCTGTTTCCTCCTCTGTAAAATGAATGGGTACAGCAATTCATGGAGTTGTTAGAGGATTATAAAAAATGATGCAGAGATAGTATTTTTTACAGTCCCTGGCGTATAGTGAATACTCGAGAGACATTAGCTATTATTTTGCTAATAGGAATTCACTAAACATTTGTTGAATGAGTGACTGGGCCAATGGACTGTTATGAAATCACCAAAAGGATCATTGCCAAAAAGCTCAACCTCCATGTGCATTTTAATAATTTAACATCTGGGAGAGTGGATCTCATTCACCACGGGGTGTAACGTGTATGTTGGTGTAATGTGTATGTTGAATATAAGATGTAATTGCTGAAGCAAAGATGGAACCTGTAAACCTGCTATCTACAGAGTTATGATTATGAATAGTTCATTCACGAAAGCCGTGTGTCACTAAGGAGACTCTCACTCCCAGCTGAAGGAAATAAATTATTTGAAATCTCTTCCCTATAGTCTTCCACGCCAACTCCCACTTTTGCAAATCCCAGCCCAGTTTTTATCCCCTTGTCTCTGTCGTCATGAAAATTATGGGGATAGCTATGAGACTCTAGCTAATGGAAAACGAGAACGTGCAGAGAATGAAATCCCAGCTGCTTAATATTCTTACCACCTAAATCTCATCTGTATGCACAAATACGGTTGGTCACATACCAAGAGGTAGAAGACCGGAATCCCTGGTCTTTGGGGGCTTATGGTACAGTGAGAAGAGTGAGATGATAAATAGAAAATGGAATTCCTGATAGAAAATGGTAAAGGCAAAATAAACGTGCAAGCAGTGAGTGCTACTGGACGTTGCTGTATTTCCACAGTTGAACCAGACCCTCCTTTGAATGTGGTTGTGGAAGTAAAACAGCCAGAAGACAAAAAACCCTATCTGTGGATTAAATGGTCTCCACCTACCCTGATTGACTTAAAAACTGGTTGGTTCACGCTCCTGTATGAAATTCAATTAAAACCCGAGAACGCAGAGGAATGGGAGGTGAGTGATCCATATGCTTGTTGAAGGAACCATGGCCTTTGGCAAGGATAAAGCTCTCACAACTGAAAACAGTTGTTCCTCCTAATTATTGGGTCATTGTATTGGCCTCCAATGCAGTTATGACTCACCCAGATGTGAAAAGTTCTTCTCCCCTCTATTGGGATTGATGGGGGCTCATCTTCACGCTCTCCTCGGGCTAGTATCTTGCACTGCAAAGACATTTGACCAGGTTTCCAAACTGCCTCCCTTAATACATTTTAGATCTAGACCCTCATGAGAGAACTTAAATGGCACCAGGTAGGAGGGGGAAATCTCAGTCATAGTCAATGGCTGTGTTTTTATTTACTTTAAAATACTTCAACCAGGCCAGGTGCAGTGGCTAACACCCATAATCCCAACACTTTGGGAGGCTAAGGCAGGTGGATCATCTGAGGTCAGAAGATCAAGACCAGCCTGACCAACATGGGGAAACTCCATCCCTACTAAAAATACAAAAACTTTGCTGGATGCCTGTAATTCCAGCTACTCAGGAGGCTGAGGCAGGAGAATTGCTTGAACCCAGGAGGTGGAGGTTGCAGTGAGCCAAGATGGTGCCATTGCACTCCAGATTGGGCAACAAGAGTGAAACTTCTACTCAAAAAAAAAAAAAATGCTGTGCACAGTAGCTCATGCCTGTAATCTCAGCACTTTGGGAGGCTGAGGGAGGTGAATCACTTGAGGTCAGAAGTTTGAGCAGCCTGACCAACATGGCAAAAATTCATCTATACTAAAAATACAAAAAAACTAGCCAGGCATGGTGGCGGGTGCCTGTGATCCCAGCTACTCAGGAGGCTGAGGCAGGAGAATCGCTTGAACATGGAAGGTGGAAGTTGCAGTGAGTCAGGGTCCTGCCTGGGTGACAAGGCTGTCTCAAATAAATAAATAAAATACTTCAACCTAAAGAAATAAGTAAATTGCAGGCAGTACAATATTCCACCTTTATATACTTTAGTCTATGCCTCTTTAAAAAAAAAAGGTACATTTCTGAACATAGCCAAAATAAGATCACACATAAGACCATTAATTAAAATTCCTTAATATCACTTAATAGCCAGTCCCTAGTTTAATTCCTCCCAGTGTCTCCAAATATCTTTAACAGCTACTTTGTCCAAACCAGAATCCACTCATAGACCACACATTGTAACTGATTGTTATATCCCTTCAGTTTCAGTGCAATGAGAAGACTGGGCCACTTGTCCCATACAGTATCCCACCTTCTACATTTCTCTGATCAGTTCTTTGTCGGGTCATTGAGCTAATTTCTCTATGCCTCCATTTCCTGTAACCAGACTTGATTAGATGTAGGCTGAACAATTTTTGCCAAGAATTGGCAGATTCAGAGGTGATATTATGTACTCTATATTGTATTTAATCGGATGTCAAAAACTATCTGGTTAACCCATTATAAGTGATGCTAAAACTGGTCCCTGAATTGGGGAGATGACACACTGATCCCTTGATTGTAAAGTCATGTTTAATTTGTATGCTACTACTTTCCCCATACATGAATGCCCAATTCTCTTTCACCTCGTGTCTTTAACACCAATTTATTATGGAATCAGTTATTTCATTAAGGTTTAAAAGCTAACAATTCTTTATATTAACTAGTTGTTTTTCACCAAGTGGGAGGAATGCAGAATATTTGACTTTTCTGAAGTAGAATCCCAAATGGAAAGATAGAAAACCTGTTAAATTTTTGATGAGCAATTTTAAGAGGAGGAAGAGATAGGGCTAAGACAGTGGAGCAGTGACAGCTGGGAATGCTCTGTGTATGACTGTTCAGCCTAACTCCGCCGTAGTTTATTTTTTAGGGAAAAACTCTTTCTTCACAACAAATGTCAGAAGTGACTTCTGTTTTCCTTATTCTACCTTAGACCCATTTTGCTGGGCAGCAAACAGACTTTAAGGTTCTCAGCCTACATCCAGGACAGAAATATCTTGTCCAAGTTCGCTGCAAGCCAGACCATGGATATTGGAGTTCCTGGAGTCCAGAATACTCCATTCAGATACCTAGTGGTGAGCATCTTGGCTCTTTTTTGCTTATGTCCCTAAATGTGTTCTAAATGGTATATTTGCATATAATAACTAGTAATAGAGAAACAACTTTGAGCCTTAGCCAGAATAGAAGAGGTGGGTTTATAAACTTTCTGCCCAATACACAGATTTTGAAGAGCAGCATTGCTCCCTGGATTACTGCCAGTGGAGAACAGTTTTAGGATAAGGCTACAGACATGGCCCTGGTGTCTCAAGGGGCTTGATGGTCAGTCATTCTGCCGCCACCATCTGCCCCATTCCTATCATTTAGAAGATTTGGTCAAGGTCATCATCTAGTTCTGCCAGAATTTATAAGGCATTACCCTGTCTCAAAGGCATGAACCAATGCTCAGTCTCTGCTATGGATTATACTTCAGTCTTTTAGTGAAGACATGGGATATAAGACAAACCGCTCCAGCAAAGCATCTTAATTCAGTAACTTGTGTTCTATAAGGGAACAATCCATCTTGCATTTTTAAAATGCCTTACAGCTTACAAAGGCTGTACCTTGTTTGGTCCTCCCAACCCTCCCAGGTATTCAGAGAATATGATTATTGTTAAGAATTAAAAGTGAAGAGGCCAAGCATGGTGGCTCATGCCTATAATCCCAGCACTTTGGAAGGCCAAGACAGGTAGAGGGCAGGAGTTCAAGACTAGTCGGGCCAACATAGTGAAACCCCATCTGTACTAAAAATGCAGAAAAAATTAGCCAGACATGGTGGTGTGCACCTGTGATCCCAGCTACTTGGGAGGTGGAGGCAGGGAAATTGCTTGAACCAGGGAGGTGGAGGTTGCAGTAAGCTGAGATCGTGCCACTGCACTCCAACCTGGGTGACAGAGCAAGACAGCCTAAAAAAGAAAAGAAAAGAAAAGTGAAGAAACCAAACCTCAGCAAAGTTAAGGGTCTTTCCCAGAACCACATGACAAAGTCTAGCTCTTCTAACAACTTGCCTGACCAAAGTATCAGGCTTTCATTGGCTTGGCATACTGGAAAGGGCACTGAACTACAAATCAGGCATGCTTCTAGTCCAGTCCTGCCTCTTACTTAAAAAAGCACAGGATCTAGAGGCAGAACGCCTGAATTCAAATCCCAGCCTGCAACACTATAGTAATATGGCCATTGGTAACTCACTCTTAATTTCTCAGTTTTCTTATCTTTTGTAACAAAGCAATGTAGGCAAAGAGCTTAACACCATTGATGGCTTTTAGTAAGAACTTAATTAATGTTAGCTTTTATTATTATTACTACAAATGACCATGTAACCTTGGATTTCCTCTTTAAGGATCAAATAAATGAATATGTGAAGGGATTTTCAAATTTATAGAGTACTATAAAATATATGCAACATATTAATATATTAATAATATTGGAAAGAAAATAGCCCTGTCATTGATGCTACTTTGGATTGCTGTTCAAATCAAAAAATATGTAGATGGAGGAAAACACTCTTGGGTTTAAGAGTTTCATTCATTAGGTTTGTTTGTTTTTAATGATGCTTTATGTGATCAAATCTTTCTGACTGTTTGTTTTTTAGAGTTCACCATGAAAGATACAACCATGTGGATCTCTGTGGCTGTCCTTTCTGCTGTCATCTGTTTGATTATTGTCTGGGCAGTGGCCTTGAAGGGCTATAGGTACTTCACTGTCTCTGAGCTGCTTCTCTGCGTCATGATAGTCAGGGATAATGGCAAAAAGAATAATACAAAGATGATAGAACCCATAGACAATCCAAGCACCTCATTTTAGCCGTCAGATGTAATGCTTTTGCCCATAAAAAAATCTTTTATCAGTGCTAGAAAAAGTAGAAAAAATATTTCAGGCTGATGTTCTTTCTATGAAACAGAGATTGACAGTTGTAAAACAGTAAAAATCTGGCAAGAGTAGCTAAAACCAAAAGTAGTAAATAGTCCAAATAATCCACTAACTTCAAAATCAGCCTCCTTAATTAGCTAGAGCTAATTTTAATATAGGAGTCTGTAATTTTATTTTCATCATTGATCATTTTATGTAGCTGTCAGACTCTAAGTCCTATCTCTACCACAGTGCATATAGCAGCTATTATACTAATCTTTTAAAAATTACAGTCAGAAATGAGTCATTTAGCCAATCTCATGAATTATTTTATAGCATGGCGACCTGCATCTTTCCACCAGTTCCTGGGCCAAAAATAAAAGGATTTGATGCTCATCTGTTGGAGGTAAGGACGAGAGGCAAAAACTCCAGTGTGACTCACTGCTTTGCAATAACTAACTCTACACACACACACACGGTCCCCATCAGTTCAGCCTGGTGGTTTCAGCCAGCCTTTTCAGGCTGTCTCTCCTGGTCAGCATGTGTGTTAACAGAAAGGTGTGTGAAGGATGAGGGTACTTACTTTCACACAGTAAATGTCAGAGGGCAAGGAGAGAACGTCAAGAAAACATGGAATTGCTTGCTTGCTTCATTTATCAGGTTGACTCATAAGCATAGAGATAAACATGTTGTATAAATAATCAATTCAGAAAGAGGGTGAATATTTTGATTAATGCAAACCAAGGACCACCCCCTCCCACCGATCATACATTGATAAAAGCTTCTACTTGAATGTTCTTTATGTAAAGCCATAGTAACAGAATGTCCTATTGCCATTATCTCTCACTTTGGGCCCTCAGTTGAGATCAGATCAATACAGTGGGGCCATCTGTTTGCCAGGACCCATTTAGGCTGATGAAAGAGGGAATTAAATGGTGAGTGTTTTGAATGAAAAGAGCGGTTAGAACATTTTAAAATTTTTCTCCAGGTTGAAATATATAGTTTCAGTTTGGCTTTTAAGCTTAACAATGATGTATATAAAAGCAACTAGCTGTACATTAAAGCAAATACCACTTGACCCGGCTGCTCTGGGTCTGACAGTGTAAACATTGAAGTGAGCCCCAGATAATATGGCTTGTCTGTGTTCACTTTGGTTGCAAATATCAGAGCAGGGAGTAGAGCCCAGGCATCCGGGTTCCTGATCCAGTGATCTTCCTCCACTATCCAGAGTAGCATTGATCTGATAGAACCAGCATGAATGTCTCAACAAACTAAATTAGCTGCTGTCCAGCCCACAGTTTAACGTGCTAGCCACAGAGGCTCAATGATAAAATAGTGACTTTTGTCTCAAAATATATATATTAGTATTCTTAATAATATTACCTCTAATCTTCAAAAGATCCCTCCCAGATGGGTAGTATTAATATTACTTTCTACCTTAAAAATGGAGAAGCTGAGGTTCAGAGAACAGCTTGTCCAAAGTCATATACCCTACAATAAGTAATAAAGCCAAGACCTAGGTCAGTACCTGACCCAAGCCAGATGGTAAGAAAAAAGAGGGGTGAGTGAAAGGAGGAGGTGGGAGGAAACAGGAGAGGGAGAAGAAGGATAGAAGGAGAAAGAAGAATAGGAAGAGATGGGAGAAAATATAGAATAGAGAGATAAAGGGGGAGAATAGAAGGAGGAGAGGAAGAAGAGTAGAAGAAAACAGTGGTTTAGGAAAAGGAGAAGGGAAGGGGAAATAAGAAGGAGAGAAGGAGGGGGAACCACAGAAGGAAAAGACAAGAATCCACTTACTATTGCCAAATAGTAGAAAATCATAGAGGAAGTTAGGAGGCCAGAAAGCACACCTCTGCCAGTGGGCCACAGTGTCAGATGCACGTGTGAGCACTGGGTTTAGAAGTTTCACAAACCTTTATTTTATAGTTATCTGTTTATTATTATGTGTATATACTACTTGCCCGCTAAACTCATGATTAGTATTGCTTGGAGAGAGACTAAGCTAAATATCCTGAGTTGACTTAAAGAAAAATATCTGCTGAATAATATCCAGAAGGTGATTCTAGGTGGCCTGGCACACAAATGTCTGAAGCTTGAGATCTTCCCACCTGCTCATGGCAATGAACAGATACAACTTAACAGGGATGCTGATTTGAAATGTTCTGAAGCTAACAGCTAACTCTTCCTGTGCCTGTGTTTTCATAGAAGGGCAAGTCTGAAGAACTACTGAGCGCCCTGGGATGCCAAGACTTTCCTCCCACTTCTGACTATGAGGACTTGCTGGTGGAGTATTTAGAAGTAGATGACAGTGAGGACCAGCATCTAATGTCAGTCCATTCGAAAGAACACCCAAGTCAAGGTATGAAACCCACATACCTGGATCCTGACACTGACTCGGGCCGGGGGAGCTGTGACAGCCCCTCCCTTTTGTCTGAAAAGTGCGAGGAACCCCAGGCCAGTCCCTCCACATTCTGTGCTCCTGAAGTCATTGAGAAGCCAGAGAATCCTGAAACAACCCACACCTGGGACCCACAGTGCAGAAGCATGGAAGGCAAAACCCCCTGCTTTCATGCTGGTGGATCCAAATGTTCAACATGGCCCTTACCACAGCCCAGCCAGCACAACCCCAGATCCTCTTACCACAACATTGGTGATGTGTGTGAGCTGGCTGTGCGCCCCACAGGTGCACCAGCCACTCTGTTGGACAAAGCAGGCAAAGATGCTTTAAAGTCCTCTCAAATCAGTAAGCCTAGAGAGGAGGGAAAGGCAGCCCAGCAGAGGGAGGTAGAAAGCTTCCATTCTAAGACTGACAAAGACACGCACTGGCTGCTGCCCCAGGAGAAAACCCCCTTTGGCTCCACTAAACCTGTGGATTATGTGGAGATTCACAAGGTCAACAAAGATGGCGCACTATCATTGCTACCGAAACAGGGAAATAACAGCAACCAGCCTGAGAAGCCCAGGGATCCTGAGAACAGTAAGGAGTATGCCAAGGTGTCCAGGGTCATGGATAACAACATCCTGGTGTTGGTGCCGGATCTGCACACTAAAAACGTGGCCTGCTCTGAAGAATCAGCCAAAGAGGCCCCACCATCACTTGAACAGAATCAAGCTGAGAAAGGCCTGGCCGACTTCCCTGCAACACCAAGCAACTGCAGGCTCCAGCTGGGTGGTTTGGAATACCTGGATCCCGCATGTTTTACACACTCCTTTCATTGATAGCTTGACTAATGGAATGATTGGTTAAAATGTGATTTTTCTTCAGGTAACACTACAGAGTACATGAAATGCTCAAGAATGTAATCAGACTGACACTACTAAAACTCCCAGCTCCTTTCATGCTCCATTTTCTAACCCTTGCCTCTTTCTGCAACAGCTGATTCTAGAACAAATCATTCTGTTTCCTAACTGTGATTTGTAGATTTTCTTTTTGCTATTAGTTATAAAATTGTGTTTGATGAAATAAAAGCACACTGCTTAGTATTCTTGAGGGACAATGCCAATGGAAAAGGCTTTCATGATTTGGCATGGGACAGATGGAAATGAAATTGTCAAAATTGTTTACCATAGAAAGTTGATGAATAGGTGCAAAATGCCTTGAAAATTGCTTTTGAAAAAACATAACCTTTACACTCCTCTTCCATTTTATTAGGATTACCCAAATATAACCATTTAAAGAGAGAATGCATTCCAGAACAAATTGTTGAATCAGTTCCGATACCTTACTGAAATCCAAGTCAGAAACAATGCCTCCAATTTTTTCTTAAAATAGTTTAAATATGTTAGGCATGGATTTTCTTCCCCTGAATTCTATTTTATTCTAAAGCCTCTTTATAATATGGTTTGGAAATTAAAATTTTCTTACACAAGGGGCAAATGAATTTCATGTGAATCCTTTCAGGATGTTTTCCTGCTTCATTTCAGCATGACAGATAATTTATTATACACCCTAGTCTTTTCTTAGTGAAAAAAAATCCCCAAAGACTAAAAGAAAACCACAGCAGGATTTTAATGTAATTACTGCCTTACTGTACATACAAATTCTACTTTAATATAAACCCATAAGTTTAACAATGTATTTTTGAAGACTATTTTTCTATCACTTAGGTAAAATAAAAGACTATTTTCTATTTTCCCAGTACAGCTGTTTATGTATTCAGTGGGTACAGTATTTTTCTGCTCCAAGGTTATAATGAGTATTTACAGTACATAGTAGTATATGCAGTTCCTGTTTGTAGAGTAAAATGCCATACCAACCCAAAGCCCACTGTGAAATATAAAATGAATGACAAAATTCAGTTTTCAACACAATATAGTATAGTGTACCCAATTCTTTTAATCTCCAGGACACTTTAAGCAACAACTACCAACAACAACCACCTGGGGATTTAGAATTCTTCACAGACCAGAAATTATTTCTCCTTTGAGTTTAAGGCTCCTCTGGGACTCCTGCTCATCAATGGGTGAATCTTCCTAAAGCTACCATAAAAAGGGAGAGTGATGGTTTCTAACAGCTGTTTGAAAGAGAGAGGTTTTGTTTTTGTGAGAAATCTTGGACAGCAAAAAAATATTTTTAAGCAAAGCCAAGAGTTAGTGTCTTTCTGAAGTAAATTCATCTGCAAAATCTTGGCAGACGCAGAAACAGAGCTCATATCAGAAGTGTCCAAATAAAAGTTCTAGGAAACTAGGTATTTGTAGAGCAATGGGAATAGCTCCAACGGTCAGACTATGGTAGTGAGAATCTCCCAGTCAGTTCCAATGCCAGGCTTCCTGAAAGAAGTCAAAGCTTGGATCTTCATTTTAAAGGGCACATCCGTGACTCATCTGACACCCTCCCTCTATTTTTCCCTTCACTTGATGGCAAATCTATTCTATATGTCCATTTACTAGCTGGACATAGAGAACTTGATCTCACCTCTGGGATTTAAATATTCCACCCCAGCTAGCCCAGATTGATAGCAATTGGACTCAGAGGTCCCTCTCCTGTTAGAAAGTGAACACATTGCCAGTGTTTTGGGAATGGCAAAAGCAATAGACATGAAGCTCTATTTTCCTAATATATAACAATATCACGTGAGTGAGGGAAGCATGTGGGAAAGTTGTCCAAGCTCATTCAGTCCCCTAGATCCTCAGTACTTACACTGTCTGAGAACCAACTGCATAGGCATCACCTGGTCAGTGTTTGAAAATTCCATTTGTAGAATCTTAGGCCCTACCTCTAACCTAAGGAATAAGAATCTGCATTTTACTAATATCCCCAAATGATTCAAGTGCACACTGAAGTTTGAGAATCACTGTTCTAGATAACCATTTCCACTAAAGGTCGTTTTAGCGCATAGAAACAATCCTCTTTTGGAAAGGACAGATCAAGTCTGTTTGACTTGCAGTGAACAACACTGCATATAAGAAGGCAAAAAAAGAGAAACATATCGATAGTTTAAGATTCACATTATGCTGAATCTTCTGTGAATTCACATGAAAGAATGACCTGCAAAAGTACACAGAAGTTCTGAAAGACCAAGGAATATATTCTACCTTGAGAAGCACTGACCAAAGTCAGTCATCCTCAAAGCCAATGAAGACTAAATCTTTCCTAACATACTATATTCTTCTCTAAGAATAGAGAAGATATACATCAGTCACTCTTATAGTTTGAAAACCTAAACATAAAAGTAATCTGCTTTTGACATATAATTTTGTATAATACATATGAACAAATGTTACAGCTAAATCCCTAAAAAAATACCAATTAGCTGCTCATTAAGTCAAAACTTTAATTCTGTGATAATTAGCAAGCTCTATAAATTAAGGTTTTCAGTGGTCTATCAAGGAGACAGCTGTTCACACAGAAGGATACACATGGGACAGGGGACGGTCAAGAGACCTAGATTCTGGTCCTAACTGCTTAGTCTTGGAGAGATTAATTCCACTCTCTAAGCCTCAGTTTCCTCTGAAGATGTTGGACCAAATAATCTCTAAGGTCCTTTGAAACTGACTCCTTGATTCCATGACTCACTGAATGTTTTTCTGCAAAGATAATTCCAACCAATGTCTTCTAACTTAATTAAGCTAACAACAAATTGCTCTTCCTCACAGAAATACAAAGTAATCTTCAGTGATGTGCTCTTTATACTTTGCTTTCTAAATAATCACTTCCACTTGGTCTTAATATATGGCACTGCATTTTATAAGTGATATGTGTGCAGAATCATATTCAAATATTATATGCAAATATATGTGTAGAAAGAAGAGACATTTTAAAGAGGCATGAGATTGAAAAGAGACATATTGAATGAGGCACGAAGCTTTAGAAAATTGATCTTTTACTGAATCAAGCCATGCTCATTCCTTGTTGAATCCAACAGCCCCAAATCCCTTTTCTTATATCTAGCTATTAATTATTTTTCTCTCATCATCCTAGATTAACAACCACTGTACAGTTGGCTTAAGGATCCTTACACTCTGAGTTACAAAAAGTTTCATTTTTATAAACAAAAACCTATTTTTTTTTGTTTTAAAAATATTCAAGTTTTAAGGCGCATGGAAACTGAATCTAGTCAGTGGGTGATTTGTGTAGCCTACAACCCAAATAGCAAAATGTTCCAATTCATTCTAACAGATATGTATAAGCACAAGTTAGTATCAGCCATGCCAGATATTAGCAGACCCTACATTTATTAGCTGTTTAACAGACTCTACATTTTCCTAAGTGCCTAAAACCAACCCTGGTAGTCACTTAAGTGCAAAAGACTCACTTTAACTGGCTTGGTCCGAAGGAGTCAATTATTTACTGTCTGTACAAGATCTGGACAGTTTTGCTTTTTGTCTTGTGACAAGCCAGCTGAATGTGTAAAGCCTGTGAGTTATTGAGCAACCAGAGACCCCTGCATTCCAAGGAGCAGTTTGGCTCTGGGGAAGCTCTGACTTTCTCTTTCCTGAAGTGTCCACACTGCCCGTCATTTGCAGAAAGACTTGGCCCTGCCTTTAGCAACTTCCCTATCTCCTTAGAGTAGACAAGAAAGAAACAGATTTGTGCACATTTTACAAAGTGCCTTCCTCTAGTTTTTTCTTTTTTTAAGTTTTCATTTTGCAAGGAAAAATGTGTTGGTTAGAAAGTAGCATTTGCCTTATAGGGATATAGAGAGAGAGATATAGATATACAGATACATGAATGAATGGAGAGATGAGGAGAAGCCAGAAAGGGCACACCAAAATGGTCTAAGGGCCAACCAGCAAATGTTCAGTGAATGTTTATGTTTTTTTAATTGAATCAACACACAGCTGTTGTGAATGTGTGACTTACTTTGCCTGATAAGAAATTGAGTCTGACTGTGATTTGGGGATAAACCTGCCACCCTGTGATTTAAGACTCTTCATACTAAAACATACTGATACATTTTTGAATGTCGTTGGCTCACATGCCTAAACCTGAAGAGAACAATGCATGCACATTGGAACTTTGCACACAGACAGAAAAATATAAATGACTTTGAATTACCATCCCTAGTGTTGCTAACATAGATGTGCCATTGACGAAAGTCTCATGTGTACTTGAGTGAACAAATTTCCTTTTCTACTTTTTTGACTCAAGCACAATAATGCTGTCACTAAGACAGTGACTGAGCACTCAATGTCCAAGACTAAATCACATCACCACCACTAAGCAGGCTGTATGTCTCTGGATGAGTCTTTTAAACTCTGGCCATCAGGTTCCTTACTTGTTAAATAGGTGGGTTGGCCTAAAAGGTTTCTAAGACCTCTGTCAGTTCTGTCTTTGATTCTCATTATCTAGATAAAAATCCAGGGTTTCAGGTCAAAGTCCTAGGTGCAGTGGAAGAAAGCCTTGCTGACATGCCCTTGGCCTGAAGCCATGAACACGTGAGATGTGTAACAATATTTAAGAGAAAACCAGAGATCTGTTCCTCCAAGTCAGATTGATATAACATCTTTGCTTTTCCTTTTTCTTCCTAGCTTTACGTATTTGTAGGGTTTTTTCTCCTTTTCCAGAGCCTACTGTTTTTCCTAAGAGTAGCAAACATAGATTCCACAAGAAATGAAATTATTCATAAGCAATGACTTTGGCACTACAAAAGACTGAGTCAGAGTTTAAATCAGTTCCACAGATATCCAAGCCCAAGTTGAGGATCATAAGTATACCCCATTTAGAGATTTGCATGCTTAGAGACTAAGCCCATGTTTATTAATTATTTAGTTAATTCAAAGGTCGTTTATAAATCCATGCCCAGCCTGGGCAACATAGTAAGACCCAGTTCTTTACAAAAATTTTAAAAATTCCAGCCATGGTGACACCTAACTGTAGTCCTAGCCAGTTGGGAAGCTGAGGCCAGAGGATTGCTTGAGCCCAGGAGGTCGAGGCTGCAGTGAACCGTGATTGTGTCACTGCACTTCAGCCTTGAAGAGCAAGACCTGGTCTCAATAAATAAATAAATCCAAGCTATGTTGATGACTAGATACTAGAGGTCTTAAGGAGAAACTTTAAAAATACAGAGTGATTGCTTCAGAGAAATCCTGTTTATAATCATGATCTGAACTTATTCTATGATTAGCAAATATATCATCCAAAAATAAAACAGGAGTTCTCGCCCCAGACTTATTTTTCAGGATGGTGACTTTTGGTCTGGGATCCTCATGACACCCATTTCAATAAAAGGAAAAGAACAGTAAAATAGGAGATAGGAAGTTTCCAGAGATTTGGGCATCTCAGGATTCCATGAAAAGCTGAGTCTAACCCACTAAATCCAATTTTTATTGGACATGGTAAATCTAAATCTGTACAGTGTTTTGAGTTTATGTCTAAGAGAGGTACATAATTCACAACACTATAATGCTGGCAGCTGTTTCGTCCACACCAATTCCTTTGATTTAATGCTCTGATTTCAATTTAGAAAGTATTGAGACATGCAAAGTCTCAAAATAGGAAAAACCTATCCTGTTTATAAGATGTGGCCAATAAATAGACCACAGATAATCTTAATTAATTAACATTCTACTTGCTGCTTGTTAAAAAGAAAAAAACTTCAGCAACTGAAGTAGGAAAATAAAAAACAAACTTTAATAGTTATGGTCAAATTATGCTTCACTTGGATAAAACTCAAAGTGTTGTAGTCTAAAGTTTTTTTGTGCACATTTTTCAAATCCTGGGGGAAACATCTTTTTATCATGTTATCTGAAAAACTATATGGCAAAGATACCTCTGAGAAACAATTTGTTTTATAGAATTCTTGAAAAGACAATTTTGAATTTTTAAAGTAACTACCTCCCCTTTGTGTCCTAATGTCCTTCCTTCAAAGCTGCTTATAGTTTAGAAACGAAAGGTGTCACGTCTCATGCTTTGATTGTTTTTCAGTAGCATGTTTGATATATTTGCCAAGTGGCATTTCTGACTTTACAGTAACTGTTACATTATTTTGTACTATATTGCTTTATGTGGTTCGAAAATAGCATACACCACATTGAAATATGTAATCCTCATATTGTGAAACTCATCATGTAATACAAATGAAAATCATTACTTAATAACTTACAATCTATTTGTATGTAATTTCAATATGATTGTGTCTATGACTGTAAAACAAAACTGAAAAAAATATGTAATATATTTCTGTTGAAACCATGAATGTACTAATTTTTTTCTCAATCTTTGTCTAGAAGCAGGATTCTATGTCATTCATTGTACAGCTGCTCTGGGGTGTTACACGTTTAAAGTTCAATCCAACAGTTGTTTAAAAGTCAGCCTCTTGGCTTTGTTTCATGTGACTGCTGATGCCTCATGAGTGTTCTTTGCATAATGAGGCTTGCTTTTGTGCTTCATCATTCATTGTAAACAACTGAAGCATCTCATCGGAAACCAAAGCAATCTAGAACCAGCCTGTTGGGTGACTGTGTCTTCTGTAAGCCATATTGAAGTGAAGCTATATGTAATAGCCTAAGGTTCCATATTTTCAAAGCTACCACTACCTCTGCTTTTCCTCTTTCCCTAGAAAATGCCAAGCAAAATTCCCCAACACTAAGTGAGAAATTAGAAGTCACTGTTATAATTAAATTGCTGGGGTTGTTTTTGTTTTGTTTTGTTTTACACCTTCCAATTCACCACGTTGCAGGGTTACGCAAGTTTCTGAATAACCATTCTTACATTTTTACACTTTATAAAAACTGGCTGCAAGAGGTTCAGAAAGAATGTGTAGTAAGTCATCGGATGAAAAACCCACAAAACAGTAGACTGCAGATTTTTTCCTATGTCACCTTATAGTTGTCCAAAGCCATGATAATGATAACTCTTACAAATTGACTTTTGTAACCCCCTAGAAATAACTCTTTTCCTTATTTTGTTTTAGCCATCAAACATAGTATGATATGGGAAAAGTCAGCCATTTACCAGGAATAATCTTGTTTTGATTTTAAAAACTCATTTATATATGTAATTATTGTAATGTCTATTTTTTAGACTTAATTATAGAAGACCATAGTCATCTGATTTGCTATTTTGCGTTTTTCATTCTGTAAATCTTTGCTTATGGCGTATTGTGCTTTCTGTTTTCCATGGTTTTATTCATTTGTTTCCTTCTATCTTGAGGGAACAATATGAGTCGTTAAATCTTTGTCATTAGGATGGGAGATAACGCTAGCTGCTATTGTCGAAACATCTTCGTTTTTACTGCATGCCAAAAACAGTGCTTGCCACACAAAAATCTTAGACAACCCAATACAATATGTTCATTATATTCCTATTGACGTCATTATTGAAAATACCCAGCTCAGTGCCTGGCTCAATAAATGTTTAATTCCCTTACCTACGCTTGCTCTATTTTTTTGTTTGAAATGGAGATGAGCACAATAATGTAAGCATGGCTGAAGCAATTTTTTGGACATTTCTTGCTGCTAAAAGATCTATAATCAGGACATTGTTTATGTAAGTTGGACAAAAAAATTCTTCCTCTTTATGTCCACCCTTCCATATGATTGCAAGACAGCATTTCCCTCGTTTACCTCATCCCTGTAACATGGGAGTCTGAGAAAAATGAGGGGAGATGGAACCAGATACAAGGAAGTTTAATCAGAGAAGCTTATTTAAATATTGTGAAATAAAGAAAGAGCCAAACCATTTTTTAAAGCAGGAAATCCTTTTGAACAGTTATTATTTATCAGTATTATTAACACCTTTTCTGACAAAATTCTTCAGATGAAGAGTAAATGGATAATCCTTTACTTTTAATGGATCTAGACCTAGAAAATTTCACTTACTCTTCATGTTTGTACTGCAGAATTGTGAAATGGTGTGTGGTTTTGCTTTACAAGTCCTTCTCTGCTTCCTCTTAATTCTCTAATGCCATGCTTACAGAAGAATAAGAAATTTCTTTCTTACTTGAGTATCATGCTCTAAAAAACTTGGCTTCAGTCAAAGAAATGCTAGCTTTCCTGTGCTTATGTTGAAGCCATCTGCCTTTAATTCTTGGGCCCTCTTATATTTTTAAGGTACAAAATTTGAAATCTTAGTCACTAGACACAAGATGCATACAATTAATGATGAGCTGGAGGAGTGATATGTAGCTAATTTTTCAAAAGTATTGAATGTACTTTCCCAACAGAAAACAGAAATTAAATATTGCCACATTTTGCCAGAATCTCATCTGAAACCTTAACCTTGTCAGATTTCCTACAACTTACTAATCAAGTTTTATTCATTCTAAATCTCCCCAGTTTTGGGGGCCTGGAAGATGCAACTTCCATTTCCATAGAAACTTGCAAATCTTGGGGTAAGGGAGCAGTGGGAGGACTAGGGAGAAGGATAATATATAGGATTATTGAAAAGTCCCCAAGAGGGACCTTCCTGACCAGAATATGCAGATCAATTCCTGCTGGCTTTACCTTTGAAAGTCCCTTGAAACCATCCAGATGAAACTGAGCCTGTTTTTTTTATATTGTCAGATGTATTCTACTTTGGAGGTTCCAACACCTAAACTGGAATGCTTTTATTTACACCCCTCCACCGTCCCCCACACCACCGCTCAATTCCTGCTGCCCCTGCTAACGTTAAGCATTTTCCCCTTGTTATGATCAGGTTCACATTAAAACAGATACTTACAAACTGACTTGAAGCACAGATACTTTTATGAATGTGATAAAATATTTTCTTGAGAAAAGGAAAGAGGACATCAGTCAAATAAAACACCGCGTGGATGTTGATCGGTGAACACTGGTGTAAGAAAAGGGAGCTCAGGAATTTTTATTACTGTATTTATAAATGAGTTTGAAAGAATTTGTAAATGCCTCTGGTACATTTTTAAGGTGACACATTTGCTCCTTATAACGTTATTAAAAATTACAGGGTAAGCTTAAATGACATTTGCCAGTAGTTTTACTTTACATAATCAATACTGATATTGTTGCTGAACTATGTAACTTTATGATGCATTTTTCAGTCCCTTTTCAGAGAAAATGCTTTTCAATGGTAGCACTGTTTAGCTTAAATTGACTTAATAAATTATTACCTGAGCAATGATTTTTGAGGGTCTTTATATATATATATATGTGAAACATGCATTACATGAAAAATGTAACTTGAGACACGTTTTTTTCTTTGCCACAATGAAACCCATCAGAATATATTTTTTTAGAGAAGGGTGAGGAAACTGCATTTTAACTCTGGAAATATAGTATGCAGACACATGCTGAAACATTGATCTTAGGACACTCATCCGTGGCATTTTTTTTCAGGCACAAATTTTTGTGCTCATCTTTGAACACCTCTGATTTTATTTTTCTACTTATTCTAAATCAAAACAGAACACGCATTCCCCCAGGCTTTATTCATCTGCCAGACTCGAGCCTTGAAAATGCAAGCATGATTGGAAGCACTCAGAAGTTTCTTGGAACTTCTCCTGGGAACAACCAAGAACAATCAAAAGGAGAATTTCCAAACCTGAGATTCAATCAACTTTCCCAAGTTTCCAAACCTGAGATATGAACAACTTTCATTTAACAAGCCACAAATCTCAGGGCCAAAGGTTCATAGTTTCTTTTGTTCTTGTCTTCCTGCCTCGAATTATTCAATATCTTTGCTTAAAACCAGCTGAGATTTCATCATCCATTTGTAATCCTGTCTTTATTGCATAAAATATTTCACAAGTACTTCAAAAATATATAGAAAAACATAAGATCATTTACCCACATCCAAATCTTATACATTTTCATATTTTGGCTTGTCCTTTTTTTTTTAACACAGATTCATTTAACATTACAAATACCATCATTTACATCCCTCAACATCCAAATTCTCTCTCTCTCTCTTCAATGGTAACCACAATCCTAAAGTTATTATATACTCTTCCCTGCTATTTTATACAATGCATTTATCTCATGTCTATCTATCCCTAAATAATATAAGCAATTACTTTGGTATTTATGAGTTTGCATAAAAAATAGCAGATATCATTATGCACTTCGATTTTTTTCATTCAGCTTTGGGTTTTTGAGATACAAATACCTCCAGCTGCTCAGCTGTATACATCTATACAATCCACTAAGCTCCCTATTTATCAACATTTAATTTTCACTGCTTTATGTATACAACTGCTGTAGTTGTATACATACAATGTATTAGTCTCCCTGACAAAACTTGTGTGTATACCACTGTTACAGTTGTACACATATACAGTTTATTAATCTCCCTATTTAGCAACACTTGCTTTTCACTGTTATCAATGACGATGCAATGAGCATTCCTGTGCCAGTCCCATTGAAATATGTGCAAAAGTTTCTCCAAAATATACACCTAGAGGTCTATATGGTTGGGTCATATAAAATGCATGTCTTAACATTTCCTAGATTCTGACAAATTGCTTCCTCTCTAAAGTAGTTTTACTGATGTCTACCCTTGCCATCAGTATAGTGGTTTCCATTTCTCTTCATCTTCATTATTACCTGATGCTTTCAGATGTTTTAATTTTTGACAATTCAGTGAGCATAAAATGATGTATTGTTATTTTCCTTTTTATTTCCCTCATGAACCCATTTGTATCTGAGTAATTCAGCCTTTTCCTGCTTATCTTTTATGCCATCTTTGTCATCTTCTGAGTGTCTACATATACCCAAATCTTAGTCCAGGCTTTTCTAGCCCATTTTCCTGTGTGTCTCTTCCTGCCCTGGCACTCCTCTGTTTTATTACCATATTTCATACAAAGTCTTGTTATCTAATAAGTTAATTCCCACACCACCATACCCTTCTTCAAAATTGTTCCAGCTATTTTTGGCCATTTACTCATCATATGAATTGTGAGATGAGCCAATCCAGTCTTCTAAAAAATTGTGTTGGGAACTAGATTGAATTTATGCTTTAATACCAGAAAAAGATACACCTTTATAATATTGTGCCTTCCTAATTATGAACATGATATATCACTTCCTTCACATTGGGCTTCAATAAAACTTTACATTATTCTTCGTAAATATTTGCACATGTTTTATTAGATTCATCCCTAGGTACCCTCTCATTGCAACTTCCGCCTCCCGGTTTCAAGTGATTCTCTTGCCTCAGCCTCCCGAGTAGCTAGGATTGCAGGACTGTGCCACCACACCCAGCTAAGGTTTGCATTTTTAGTAGAGAAGGGCTTTGCCATGTTGTCCAGGATGGTCTCGAACTCCTGACCTCAGGTAATCCGTTGGCCTCAGCATCCCAAAGTGCTGGGATTACAGGCATGAGCCACCTCACCCAGCCTCACTGATGTTTAAATACTGATCTTGTATCCATCCTGTAACCTTACTGAACTCTAATTAATATTCTTATAATTTGTAAGTTTCCTTGGATTTTTAGTTTTTACAACTGTATCACCACAAAGTAACAACGTTGTTTCTTTTTTTCCAGTCTTTATACCTCTTATTTCTGTTTCTTGATCTATTCCTTGGGCTTTCAGAACAGTGTTAAGTAGATATGTGTTAAGGGCATTCTTCCTTGTTCCTGACTTTAACAAGAATGCTACAAAAAGTTCACTATGACATATAAGGCATCACATAGGTGTTGTAGGGGGCAAAGGAAAGCTGCCGCCTTGCCCTTTAATGGTTCACTAAAAGTCACTGACAAAAGGTGAATTAATAGGAGAAAAGGCATACAAATTTATTTGATTATAGTTTTATGTGACATGGGAGCCTTCAGAATGAAGACCCAAAGATACAGAGGAAACCCCGTTTTTATGCTTAGTTTCAACAAAATATGGACAGCCACGTAGGAAAATGATTGAATCTAATGCTGACAGACTGAATGAGGAAACCTAGCAAGGCCTGTGTTTAGATTCTTCTTGGTCTCTCTGTGCAGGAATCCCTCTCAGCATTCCTTCCTTCTGGGTATTGGGCAGAACCCTCTCTGGAAAGGGGGTCTTATGACCTACAGTCAAACAAGATAGGTCAGGTTATTTATGGTCAGCTTTTACACAGAAAGGCTGGTGTAAAGTTACAGTAATATTTTTAGACTGTAAAGCTGACTTTGGGGCGAGAGGAGCAGTTTCTATGACACCTTGGGGAAGTGAGATTCCAGTTTCTACACCCAGCCTCTGGAAAGAATGAGGGACCAGACAGGAGGGCAGTAGGTCAGAGAGAACTGCTGCTGGGCCCCTACAATGTTTTCAGATATCCTTAGTCATGTGAAAGATAGTCCTTTATATTTTTAGTTTGATAATTTTTATCTTAATTGATATTAAAAGTTCTCCAATTTTTTTCTACATCTATTGATACGTTCATGTGGCTTTTCTCTATTACTGTGTAAATTATCGCAGAAAATTATTTTAGAGAATATATATTTAAGGTTAAAGTATCCTAGCATTCTTGAGATGAACCTCACTTATACATGATGTATTTTTGCAAACCTTATTAGGTTCAATTTGCTAAACTTTTATTTAAGATTTTTGCATTAATGAGGTTCATCTTTTTTGCTGCTTAAAATGTCATTTTCTGAGGTAATTTATAAGTAAGTTAAAATCTTCTAGGATTATGTAAGTTTCTACTTATTGTAATTCTATCAATTTTTGCTTTATATATTTTGAGGCTGTATTATTGGTCATATATAAGTTTAAATGTTCAATCCTCCAAATAAATTATTCTTTTTATTTTTACATATGATCCCCTTTATTTATAATGATCATTTTTGTCTTAAAACCTATTTTTTCTCATACTGATATTGCTAATTGGCTTTTCTTGGGGGTGGTAATTCTCTGGTAAGTTTCTTTTTATTCCTTTACTTGAAAATTATTCTGTGTCATTATGTTTTAGGTGTGTCTTTTTACAACAGCGTATAGCTGGATTTTGTTTTCTTCTTCTAATTGAGAATTCTTTTTTTGGTGGTTAAACGGTCTCTTCTCATCTGATGCACCCTTCCTTCATTTTTCTTTTGCAATTTGAATTATTTAAAGGAGCCAATTCTGTAATAATCACTACAATAACAGGATATAATTTAACATCCTTGTAATTAAACATCCTTGTGAGATAATTCACTGTAACTGAGAGCCCTGAGTTCGGGAACAGCTCTTCCCCCGTACAGGAACAATCCCAGCCATAGTGAACCAAACTCTAAGGACTCTCATCTTACTGTGATTGAAAACAATAATTAAGCCTTGGTTCTAAAGTTCAAGGGAATGAACAACTAGAAAATTTCAACTGCTAAGAGTAGGGCCTGTGCTCAAGAAGAGTTTGCCTTACATTTATACCTCCTACCAAAAAAGCAGTCGATTTGTATTTTCAGACTCCTCCATTTAAACACATATCTTCCCATCCAGATGCAATGGCTTACTTAGTTCCAGCACTTTGGGAGGCCGAGGCGGGCGGATCCTGAGGTCAGGAGTTCAAGACCAGCCTAACCAACATGGAGAAACCCCATCTCTACTAAAAATACAAAATTGGCAAACCACATATCTTCCCCACACAAATTATCTGTCAATCATTCTACCACATACATTATTGAACAATCCTTGATGAACAACCTATGCCAGGCACTGTGCTGGGATGCAGGGAACAGCATGGATGTGCTCTCTGGCCTCTTGGGGATTACAGTCTAGTGGGAAGGCTAAGGTAATCCATGTGTCCCCAGATCTCTCCAGAATGTTACTCTCTAAAACATAGTAAGTCCAATAATTCCAATGAGACTTGTCCAAAGAGTTCTAGTAAATAAACAAAAGGACTTTGACCTTGCATTATTTTTTAGAAAATCAGTTTCCATGAAATTCTATGGGTTACAGTAACTGAGCCACATCTTTAGGCAGTTATTCTCTTCTTACATACCTGCCAATCTCTGCACCTCAGTCTGAACACCCTGCACACACCATTCTTCATAGTCCATTAACTGTGAAGTGGAACACCTGTAATATGAAGTTGCATGTAAATTATATATATTTACCTGAAATTCTTCCAAAATAATTTTCATTTCCTTCAATTTCACAACTCATAAATGAGCTAAGAGAGGGAAAGGATTACTTTGGAAAAGCTGTTAATTATCTTCAGAGTCTTACTGGACTCTGCTCTGTCATTGACAGAAGGCCTGGGACAGAGCAAAGTTCAGTTACGCTCAGGACTTAACTGATAAATCACTGGTGAACTTGTGTGCAAAAATCCTCCCTGAGAGTTACTAACATGACAACAGAATTTCCAAGTTTCTCCATTTGTGAAGCATTTTTTTCAAGGAGAAATTTTAATATTTTCCTGCCTAATGAAAGGCTTCTCTCCTCCTATTTAGCATTTGTGCAGACTGAGGTAGTCCTTCCTCTTCTCTATTCTTACATAAAATTGAGAAAATTATACCTGATCTGCTCAAAAGAGAGAGAAGAGAGAGACTTGGAACTACTGTCACTTATAACTCAAAATAATATCGGTTTAATTGGAGTTTTATCTGCGAAGCTGAGGTAGAATCTTGGAATGATATTCCAAATGACTCCTATGCTGAGAACGAAGCTCTAGAGGCAATCTAAGTTTCCTCCTCATCCCAGTTTTCAGATTTTGTGGATTGATGCAATTCTACAGAGTCCAAAAGAACAAACATCTCAGAATATAGTTTTGTGCAATGTTAGTTGAATTATAAATTGATGCCATCTTACTGAGATGTATTTAAAATGTACATACATTTTGACCTAGGAATCCCTCTTCAAGGAATTTATCTGAAGAAAATAAATAATTAGTCAAGTGCAGAAAATTCTCCATCCTAGAATGCTGGAGAATATACAGCTATCCATGAAAAGGAACTTGTTAAATAAAAAATATGAAGACTCAGTTTCCGAAACAGTATGTGTATACACAGATATACACACGTAGAGAAAGATTTCTGAAAGGAAATCTACTAAAATATAATGGTCAGATTTGTTGTAATTTTTTTTTCTTTCTTCTTTATGCTTTTCTAGGCTTGAGTTTGTTTAATAAAAGTACATTTTATGCTAATCAGAATAATTTATTTTCCTTTTAAATAAAGGAAGTATAACCTCTCACTTTTCCTCTAGAAGTTATTCAAAACGTACTGTTTTTCTTCCCCACTCTAGGTGACCCCTTGATATTGAGTGCCTCTCACCATAAAAATCTCTAATCTTACAGCCCAAGAAAAATCTCAAGGAAGACCATAGCCTGCGGTGTTCACAAAAGCAAAATTGACCACAGTCCAGTAGAGCTGAGGTGCATATACCAGAGTTCAGGACCTCAACATTTTCTCCCCTCTGTCCAACCACAGGACAGGCTGTGCACCCCAGGGAGACTGGACCTCACTGACTTGGAATGCTCCTGCAGCAGGGACCAGCCAGCTCATACACCCACTCCTTACTACCCTCAAAGCAGAACTGACTAGGAACTGGAAACCTACACAAAAAGAAACAATGACATTGAATGTAGCATACTCCCTGTGCTTACCTAGTGCCTTCACCTCCTATGGGCATTCAGAGTAAAAGATTGTTTTGCAGGTGTTTGTGAAGGATGTGGCCAAGTCAGTTGTCTCCCCTACAGAGTGACCCAAGATAAAGATATCTATCCATCCCCAATCCCTTGACCCCCTATTGCAATTGCCTTTGTCACTGTCCCCCTTAGGCACTGCCATGTAAAGTATGTGGTCCCCATTGTGAAGCAGTGGGAAACCTAGAAGAGATGGACTTTTCACAACCTGGTTGCATCTTAAAAACATGGCTCTAACTGAAAAGAAAAAAAGACACATATTACACATATTTACATAAATTAAAACTGCAGTCACCCTAAACAATACGCACTTTACAAGAATGCCTGCCAATAAAAGGATATATATATATACAAACATGCTAAATAGTTGCTTTTGGGGATTGAAGGCTGGGGGAGGCCAGAGTGGGGTAAATGGGAATTTACGAAATTAAAAATTTAATGAAAATAAGGCACACTAACACCTCAGCTCTTAACCTTTTGCCTTCTTCAGACACATAAGAGGATTCACAGCTGTCCCAAACCTTACCCAGCTATTTGGTACTCTCTGCTTTTCCTTGGAATGGCTCTTTCCCCATTGTTTTCTTCTCTCTTTCTCTAAGACCCCCAAAACCAATTCATTTATTCATTCACTTCATGCATATCCTCCTTCTTGCTCTCTTAGTCACATCCCTGTTTCTCAATCTCTGACCCCTTCGACCATATCCTGATCCTTCTCCCCCACCCAGCACCACCCTCCTGCAGAGAAAAGCTCACCGGAATGAAACCCTGATGGAATACTAAACAGAACTAGTCAGATGACCTTTGCTTTATCTGCCTGCTTTCTTTCCTTTTCCCTTCTGCTCTCTTATTTTCTCTCTTCTTCTCTCTCCCTCCTACTTTCACTCTCTCTCTCTCTCTTTGTTTCTCTTTTCCTCACTCTCTTTCTCTCCTCCTTGAAGGCACTGTTATAACAATAGACAGCTCTGAGGTTTACCTGAAGCCATGGGCTATCACCACTCAGGATTCCCCTTTTAGAGCCACCTCCCCATGTTAATCTCAAAGTCCAGCAGGACACCAAGCAGTTAGAGCCTGACCTCTAAACTGCTTCCATGGGGGCTGACTTACTGAATGGGAGAGATGACTCTAGTCTGGAGACATTTGCCGAGACCCTTGTGCCTGGTCACCTCCACTCTCAGGATCCTCGAGATGCGTCCTTTCCTGAGCTGTAAGTGGAAACTAGGGGGAAATGGGTCAGCAGAGGGACAGTGAGAGGGGAAGGCTTGAGCTCTGGAGGCTGCTGCCTGGGATTCTGGGATGTTAGACCTGAATAAGGTCTTAGAGATGGGGCATGTAACACAAAGGTTCTCACTCTAAGTCAATGACCCATTTTCATAGTCAATATTTTGTAATACTCCCTTTTTTTTTGAAATGGAGTTTATGGATAATGAAACCCAACTATACACAATTTCAACATAATGACATGCTATCTCAGCTGCAATATCTTTCAAAACCAAAGGAAGATAATTCAAAAGAAAGTGTGACTTCAATTTACAGATGTTCGGGGATGATTTCTACTTTTTCTTTTTTGAGACAGGGTCTCCCTCTGTCGCCCAGGTTGGAGTACAGTGATGTGATTATGGTTCACTGCAGCCTCAACCTCCCAGGCTCACATAATCCTCCCACCTCAGCCTCCTTAGTGGCTGGAACTATTGGCACATGCTATCACACCTAGCTATTTTTCTTTTTTAACTTTTTGCAGACATCGGGTTTTACTATGTTGTCCAAGCTGATCTCGAACTCCCGGGCTCAACCAATCCTCTCATTTCAGCCTTTCAAAGTGCTCGGATTGCAGGCCTGAGCCATTGCACCTGACCAGGATGATTATTTTAAAGTCATAAAGCATCCTCATGAATTTTCACCATGCCTCTAGGAAGTGGGACAACTCTCTCAATTACCGACAAGTGCTGTGATTTACCCAGTGTCATCCAAGCCAGGACTTGGCCCCAGGCCCTGCCCATCCACTCAGACTCTCCTCTCTGCAGCAGAAACAGAAAACATGAGGAGACTTGGGGTAACCAGACATTGGTGGCTTTATGAGTTATATCCTCTGTGCTTGTGATTTTCACATGGATCTTGTTTCACACGAGCCCCACTACCTCCCCGGCAAATGCCCTTGTGCAAACATGAGATTAAGCAGCTGTCTGCACATGTATGTGCCCATGCTTCACAGGCCTTAAACAGGTGCAGGGGACCCTTTTCCGTTTCCCATCATGACCAACTTTGTCTTTATTTTCTCCTCATCTTTCCCTTTCACCCTCCTTCCTTCCTCTCCTCTTTGATTTCTTCCCCCTGAAAATTGCAATCTTTTGAAATTTGATACATGCATGGCACTTTAAATGCATTATCTCCTTTTATCTTCAGCCAAACTTGTTAGTGAGTACTACTATCTCAGTGAACAGATGGGGAGACAAGAGAATAAGGAATATATCAGAAATGTGGTCAAAGGCAGAGACATGGAAGTGCTAACTTGGGATTGAAAGCCAGGTCTATCTGACTCCAAACTCAGAGAGATTCTATCAGGCCCTCTGTAACCTCCCCTACTCTTCCAATCCTGTTTGGACTTCTCTTTTCCGTTGATCATAAGTTTTCTACCCGAACATCACTTAACTCCAATATTTTCTTAGAAGCAGGTAAAATTATACCCGGCCTTATGCTCAGTGAGGAGGAAATTATACTGAAAGTATCAGCTGTTGACCTAGCAAGAGAAATGCCCTAGCCTGCCCCCCTCCCCTTTCCTACCCCAACCTCTGAGCATTGTGGAGCTGCACTGTGGAGCAGCAGGTGACCTAGAAAGGGCAGGTGAAGCCTAGGACCTAGAGATCTCGGTCAACTGACTGAGGACTCCTTACCATCAGCCCAGCAGGGACACTACAAAGAAGTAATCTTGCAAAACCACGTCACCTAGACTTGAATGCCATGCTCATGACCTGGCCTTGCAAAAAGCTTCGGGACCTTTATGTCTACTTTCTCATCTAATCTACCTAAGTCTACGCCTGCCTCTGCTTGTTCATCCAAACACACACTCAATGAACATACATTTCCTGAGCACCTGCCACGTGCAAATACATTCAGGCAAAATATTTGAGCATCTATCATGCACCAGTGCTGCAGACTTAGCCACAATAGGCAAGAAAAAGCCCCTGCCCTGCCCATTCCAGGAGAAGAGACATAGAAGATGGATGTAGACAAATAAGCAAATATTTAAAAATATGTGTGTGTGTGTGTGTGTGTGTGTGTGTGTGTGTGTACATATGCATCCAGTAGAGAAACCATGAATAAAACCAAATCAGGAATAGAAAAATATAACAGAAAAATGTGTGTGTGTGTGTGTGTGTGTGTGTGCATCCAGTAGAGAAACCATGAATAAAACCAAATCAGGAAAGGGAACAGAAAAATATAATAGAAAAAATGTGTGTGTGTGTGTGTGTGTGTGCGCGCGCGTGCGCATGCGTGTGTGTGTGTGTGTCTGGGTATGTCCAGTAGAGAAACCATGAATAAAACCAAATCAGGAAAGGGAATAGAAAAATGTAATGGGGTGAGAGGAGGAGCTGTTAGGGAAATCATCATGTTTTAATGTTGTTAGATACACAGAGATAAGTCACAATTCTTGTGTAGCACCTACATAGTTACCGTACAGTATTCATATGCATAAAATGTTCAGCCTTGTTTACGCTTTAATCTGCGCACTTTGGGCTGTGTATGCAAAGCTATGGAAGCAATTTGTTTTCAGTACAAAAGTGTGAAGAAATATCTCAGTGGTGCATTCTTTCCTACAGTTAGCTAATGACTGAAATGTATAACGTTTGCAGGTAGCTGGGGTATGTGCACCCATATACCAGTTTCTTAATATATGCCTGCTCTCCCACAAAGGAAGGGGGGCACAGAAATGCATCCGTCTCCAGCTGAGATGTTTCCCCATTCCTGCCAAGCCTATTTTAAGAAAAAATTTTAAATTCACCCTAAAGAGAGGCCCCCCCATCTGCACCCCTCCAGGCAGTCTTGCCACAGTCAGAACTGATTTAACACATGCCAAGGACCAGGAAGAGTGATCACGGAGAATGCCTATTCCAAACGTGCAGAGAAGGAAGACCCATCCGCCTCAGAATCAGGAATCGGGCAGAGCTCTTGCTTGTGGACAGCCACAACTACCCCTGTTCGCCTTCAGCAAAAGGGCATATACGGGAAGGGTATGAGGGAATGGAGGGAAGGAGGGAGTACGGCTGAAATATTCGACAGAAGGCTGAGGATAGACCCTGCACGCAAAGAAGCCAAGGAAGGGCAGGCGGGAGTAGAGTAACTTCCGGTAGGAACCGCCACCTTTTTTTTTTTTTTTTTTTGAGACAGAGTCTCACTCTGTCATCCAGGCTGGAGTTCAGTGGTGCCATCTCGGCTTACTGCAATATCCGCCTCTAGGTTCAAGCAATTCTCCTGCCTCAGCCTCTTGAGTAGCTGGGATTACAGGCGCGCGCCACCACATCCGGTTAATTTTTTTGTATTTTTAGTAGAAAAGGGGTTTCACCATATTGGCCAGGCTGGTCTTGAACTCCTGACCTTGTGATCCTCCCACCTCAGCCTCCCAAAGTGCTGTGTTTACAGGCGTGAGCCACCACACCCGGCCAGGAACCACCTCTTAACAGCTTCCCTGGGGGTAAGAAGGCACCTGGCATTCACCACCATCATCCTTTCTCCCAGAACACACATGAGACAGAGGGGACCTCCACAGAGAGGTCCGTGAGAGATCATGTCCAGAGCTGGATGATACCCAACAGCAATGGCAAGGGTCTTCTGCAGCACCCTGCAGACTGCACCCCCATGTGTGAAGGGAAAAGGATCACTCCGGAGTCCCCAAGCTGGCAGCTCCGGCACAGGGAAAAGGAGGAGAAAAAGTTTCTCCACCAATTAAACACTGCCCCTCAGGCATCCAAACCACAGCACAGCTTCAGCAGGCCTCCCTGGAAGGTGGCACCTTAAACCCTCAACATCGGTGAGGGACTCCAAGACTGCCAAGGCTTCAAATTCCATCTGTCACTGCTTCCACTCTACGGTGGATGGAGGATGAAATCTTCCTTTCCTAACTCATTGGCTAAGTATCAAATGAGATTCCAAATGTGACAAGGTTTTCTCAAGTTACCTAAGATGCTATATAGAAATGAGATATAATTGGCATTTTAGGCCAGGTGCAATGGTTCACGTATATAATCACAACACTTTTGGAGGCCAAGTCAGGCAGATCACTTGAGCTCAGGAGTTCAAGACCAGCCTGGACAACCTGGCGAAACCCAGTCACCACTAAAAATACAAAACATTAGCTAGGCGTGGTGGAACACACCTGTGGTCCCAGCTACTAGGGAGACTGAGATAGGAGGATCACTTGAGCCTGAGAAGTAGAGGTTGCAATGAGCAGGGATTGCAGCATAGCACTCCATGTAAGACACCATGTCTACTAAAAGTAAAAAAAACGAAAAATAGCTGGGCATAGTGGCGTGTGCCTATGGTTCCAGCTACTCAGGAGGCTGAGATGGGAGAATTGTTTGAGCCTGGGAGGCTGAGGCTCCAGTGAGCCATGATCACACCACTGTACTCCAGCCTGGGTGACAGCGGGAGACCCTGTCTCAAAAAAGAAAAATAGAAAGAAATCATCCCTGGGTATCTGTAAATTGAAGCCATACTTTTTTTTTTAATTTCTTTCCTTTGACTTTTCAAAATATTGCAGCTCAGATAGCATGTCATTATTTTAACACGTTATATGAGCATTGGGCAACAGAGCCAGACACTGTCTCAATAATAATAATAATTAGTATTTTAATAAATCACACTGTGTCCATTGTGTATTTTCAAATATTTTAGAAAAAGGGTGAGGAAGCCCTTAATAAATACTCCCTCTGGGCTGAAAACTGGTTGTGAATACTGAAATCCGGTTGTGCATACTGAAATCCGGTTGTGAATACTGAAATCCGGTTGTGCATACTGAAAACCGGTTGTGCATACTGAAATCCTGTTGTGAATACTGAAAACCGGTTGTGAATACTGAAATCCGGTTGTGCATACTGAAATTCTGTTGTGAATACTGAAATCCGGTTGTGCATACTGAAATCCGGTTGTGAATACTGAAATCCGGTTGTGCATACTGAAATCCGGTTGTGCATACTGAAAACCGGTTGTGCATACTGAAATCCGGTTGTGCATACTGAAATCCGGTTGTGAATACTGAAATCCGGTTGTGCATACTGAAAACCGGTTGTGCATACTGAAATCCGGTTGTGCATACTGAAATCCGGTTGTGCATACTGAAATCCGG